TACAAAGGTCGTATCTTTGTATTTGGTTTTTCACTTAGATAACTATATAGCTATCAGCATTAATAATTATAACAAACTAGTGGAGTAATTTCACATAAAAATAATCGAATATCAATTCAATAGAAATTTAAAACTATATAGTCTTTAAAAAAAATTTACAGAATAGGACCGTTTTTATTAAAATTAACTAGTTTTTGAGCCTTTGTATTTTGATATTCTACTGATGAGAAACTAACAAACCACGACACTGAATGTCTCTATAACGTGTTACCTGAATGTCGTAGAGTTTGTTTCGGTAACATTTGTATTGGAATATGTCCAACTAAACTGCGTACAGTGAAACATTGTGGCGTCTTCGCGCTCCCTATAGTGATTTTTATTATATAAAATCACATTCAAGTTTTGAGTTCGTTGGTGTAACTGTTCCAAGGCGCAAATAAAAGTAGCATATAGCAATTTGAAATAGAATAAAATATCGAATGTATTTCTTCCGTTCCTTGTTGATGGAAAACACAGATTAAGTAGGATTACAGATTAACCTCTAGTTAATAAAGCAGGTTAAAACCATACATTTAGTATCTAAATCTATGGTTAAAAGACATCAAATTTCGTAAAGTACGTCAAATAATTTTTACACGTACCTATTATAGAATTTTCCACGAGACGTCAAGTAACATAAAAAATTGAAGATAGATAGAGAAATCTGTCACGGACCGTCAGTTTCCTAGGTTAAACCGTTATAATAGTATCTCAAAAACTTTTCCACTTTGTATATAATTACTTCTAGATACGTCTTAAAAAACTCCAATTTTACACTATATTAAAACCTAAATCGTTGTTCGACCAATTAAAGATCTTAAGAAATTACACAAACATTCTTTATTTCCCACTAAAAATGCAACAAAGCCGCCTTTTATACAGTAGCTTACTCTAATACACCTATATACATTATGGATACTCAAAATGTTTTATTTTTGTAAAGCCGGAATAAAGAGTTTATTCTTAGTATCTATTTTAGCCTTTTTTATTATTATTACTTTTTGCTGTTGTCATTGTAATTTTGAATGTACAATATATTTTCATTCATACTTTTAAGCTACACAGTACCTACACAAATTCTTCTTTTAAAAAGACAAAAATGCATAAAAAGTTTTGGTCTGTCTGTCATAATTCAAGGTACTTACACACATATGATTCAATATTTAGTATGACTAAACATTAAATGATTCACATAGGCATTAATTTAAGTTTTTTTCTTTGAGGCACTATGATCAAGTCACGGTTCGCCAGGCAAAAAAAAAGATGTAACACAAAGAAGTGCTTAAACAAAGTACTTGTTGTTTCACGGAAATAGTTCACATTTACGCATTACTTTTAACATGACTACAGTCTGACGCTGGGCTTAATACTTAAGATTTAAATTTAAGCACTTATCGATAACAATGTTCCGGAGTCCAGTGTATTAAGCTCGTTGAGTTCTTGACTGGCCCTTTTTTTTTAAACAATTTACGTTAAAACTATTTATTATAGTCTATAGGGTGGACAAGTAGTTCATCTATAATTCAGCCAGTGACCGTACCTTACCACAAAAAACATTAGAAAAAAATCCAGTTAAATGTAGAGGACTGGTTGAATCTTTTTTATTTCTAATTGAAATTAAAACCAAAAAACCTTAAAATTGACGCAGGTTTATTGTTGAAGGCAAGTTATAAAAGGTACAGACAATTTTTGACAGAAAGGAGATCTTATACATAGGCATAGATTTACGTACATTCAGCTTAGTTTAAAATTATAATAAATTGAAGACAAATCTATCCAGCTAGTACAACAAAAAGTTTCATTTTTAAAACAAAGTTTATTTTTGTTTAATTTATTAAGTTTTGTAAAAACACATGGAAGAAAAGTTGTTGTTTAAGATGTTAGTAATATGGTCCTACGACGTCGTTAGTATTTTACAAATAAACCTGTGTATCGAATTGATAGAGCGTTCTGCTTGTAAAGTTTACTATGCTTCGAACTTAGAAAAAGAACTTTTTTTTATAATATCAAGCGACGGGACGAACATGTTGTGCGCGCCTGGTGGTAAACAAGACGCCTATCCATAACAGTTGCAGTGCCAATCAGGTTTTCAATCGCAAAGATCTGAGAGGCACTGCCTCTGCGCCTGTCACATTGAGACACATGTTTTTTTATTATAATATTAAGTGACGGGACGCATAAGTCACGCGCCTGATGGTAAACTACGCGCCTGTCCATAACAGTTGCAGTGCCACTCAGAGCTTTAAATCGCAAAAACATCTGAGGCGTACTGCCACTGCGCCCGTCACCCTAAGACGTAAGTTGACAAGTCCCACGTGCCTTTAATTTAACCAGCACCTTTACCCTTCAAAACCGGAACACAACAATGCTGACATTACTGCTTGGCGACAGAAATAGATAAGGTCGCAGTATTGCCCTGGACGAACTCTTTCAAAAGGAGCTCTACTGCTTCTAATTAACAAATCCCTGTGCCTGTAATTTCACCAGCACCAGTCAGAACTCTTTATAGTGACTGTTCTATATTTCCCAAACGATATATCCTGGATATTTTTAAGGTTAAAATGGAGACAGGTATCTTCTAGGCGAGAGTGTGCCTGTCATTTCACCAGCACCAGTCAGAACTCTTTGTAGTGACTGTTCTATATTTCCCAAACGATATATCCTGGATATTTTTAAGGTTAGAATGGAGACAGGTATCTTCTAGGCGAGAGTGTGCCTGTCATTTCACCAGCACGAGTCAGAACTCTTTGCAGTGAGTGTTCTATATTTCCCAAACGATATAGCCTGGATATTTTTATGGTTAGAATGGAGACAGGTATCTTCTAGGCGAGAGTGTACCTTCACTTACCATCGGGCGAGATTATAGACAAACTATAAGATAAAAAAGCACACTTCATCTTCGACCACACCATTACCCATCATTAAGTGAGATTGTGGTTAAATACTCGCATATTACTCATTAAACAAAAACATACTGTAGTCCAATTCACTACTAGTAGTCACACAACATTAATATACAGGTAATTTATTTTTATATTTATTTACCTTTGTAGTAGTAGAGATCCTTGTAAAAGCATTCGTCCAGAGAAATACTGCTACTACCTATTTCTGCTGCCGAGCCGTAATATGCGCATTTCTGCATTTCAAGGGTAAGGGTGTTGGTGAAATTACGGGCTTCATGTGCCCGTAATTTCACCAACTTGTCAATTTATGTCTCAGAGTGGCGGGCGCAATGGCAGTGCCCCTCAGATCTTTGTGATTTAAAGCTCCGAGAGGCACTACGACTGTTATGGACAGACGTGTCGCTTCTAAACTAAAAGCAGAGGAAATAATAGACATAGGGCTGATAATACCTTCGTCTAAAATCAGTGTTATTGATTTATAACTAGAAATTACTTTACTACGTTGGTGCATTTAGAAGAAAAGTTTTGTAATTTTTCTTTTTTTTATTTAATTTTAATTAATAATAATATATATAAGTATTTTGTTTTGATTTTTTTAATATAATATCAAGTGACGGGACGAACGAGTCGTACGCCTGATGGTAAACTACACGCCTGCCCATAACAGTTGCAGTGCTTTAAATCGCAAAGATCTGAGGGGCACTGCCGCTGCGCCCATCACAAAACATAAGTTCAATTTTCGCTTTTTAGTTTTAATCATTCCGAGATTTCAGAGTAGTGTAATCCACTCTATATATGTATAGTACTAAAAAGTTAGGTAAGTATAGCCCGCTTATTAAAATGTCTGGTAATATAAATATTAATATAAATCTAAACCACACATTTACGTCAATAAAACGCTAAGTAAGACAAGTAGATATACTAAGCTACGATTAAGTTATAGCAAGCAAGCGCAATAAGCAACTGGTATCGATTTGTCGCGTCGTGCCGTACTCACCTCAAAACTTATTTAAATCTGTAACATAACTTGATATACCTTGATACATCATAAACAGCAGAAAACTCTCTTCGTAAATGTTGCTAAATATATATATTTTTTAATTACTTCACCCGTAATAACATCTGATAATGATTTAAACGTCATGGTCCAAGTGCTCTGTGCAACAAATTTCTGGTAATATATTGATTAAATTAAAACTAATCGTAGTCGATCGTAGTTTTTAGGCGATAACATAATAATTCCGCATAGATAAATCGAAGTACATACCTATCATATTAATTTATTAACAACGTAGTCAAAGTATTTATTCTAAGATGTAGAACAACAGTAATCGATATTATGTAGTGCCTGTATCATATTAAAACAAATATATATTTGCTTAAGAATCTACGTATTGATTTATAAAGGTGAATTGTAAGTTATAGAAACCATTTTGGTGCAAACTGACAAGAAAATGTTAGTAGTTCGCAATTTGAACAGTATTTCGTCTATTACAATGAAAAAGCTGTAATCTGTTGCTAAAATTGTACCAGTAAATTCGTCCTTACATCTATTAAAACGATCTTCCAACAATGTTAACAAACTAAAGAATTAAAAAATCGTTTTCTTTATTATTCCGAGTAAGAGTTTATACGGCAAAGTAACAGGTTTGCTACTCGTAACGCCATCTAGCGGTGAGTAGAGGCAACTCTTTAACTACTATACATTTGAGTTTTTTCCAAGTAAGCATCAATATTTGCTCTTTATTAAGAAGATTTTGGGTTGTTATAACTATCTAAGTGTAAAAAGATGTAAGTTAATCTGTGTTTAGTTAGAAATAATTATTATCGCAATTATTTTCTGTTTAAACAAAGAATTTTGCAAGACGAAATGAAGGATATTTTGTTTATATTTTAGTTAGTTTATGTTGTTATAAGGTCTATAGACTGAATATTATTGCGAAATTAATATTAACTAGTTATTAAGTTACATGCAAGAGGTAATCAGATATACAACTCGAAACATGTTCTGGTATACTTTTTATACATTTTTCACAATATATTTTTTCTTATTTACAGTGTTCGGGTTGGATTCTCCGCTGGGACTGTTTCCACCGGGCATGGAGCACAAAATGTACCCACTCATGGACGTTGACCATCGCGGTCCACCACTGGACACGCACCTCTTCGCTAATGCCAAGAAGAAATGTAAGTAGTCGTACCAAACGTCTTATTTTTTATCACGTATTTCGAATATGATTGATAATAAGCAGCACATGGGGAACAATCAGCGCTTTTTGAATTCAATTTTATTTTCACCCTCTCTGTCTAGTACGTATATTCCTTAAAAATAACGGATTATCCATTTGCAAACAATGACTTTTTAAAGATTTCTCAGTTTTTTCGGACCTAAATCCTGTACATTTTGTTTCTTGAGGACCATGGGACCTGTAAACAGCCCTAATGGTCAGTATATACTTTTTTTTCGATTTTCCGAAAGAAGTCCCCAGTTTACTCTGAATTTGTTACTTGTTACGCACAATCGAATTTTTTTTCATACACAAATAAGTTTTGAGTGTAAATTATTTAATGTAATGTGACTAAGCGATCACAGAAATCTGTTGTCTGAACTGATTAACTGTAGCTAAACAATACATTGGATGAAACCTTTAGAATTATTATTAGAAAGATAATTATGATAGAATAATGTAAGGCAGGTTACCTTCCTATGACAGGGACATACTTAACAGAGATTATTCAATTAGAAATACCTTTTGTTTATGAGTACCTATTTTAAATGTATTTTAAGTACCTATGATCGGGAAATATATACTTGCAGGGTTTTTTGTAAAATACTAACAAGCTGTCAGGGCTATATTACTAACACCATTAATAAAAACTTTCGTTCTATGATTTTTAATAATTCATCAAATTTTACTTTTATACTTTTATTTTTATACAAACATATAAATATCGCTCTAAACGGTAACAACTTCGTGCGGTAGCAAAACAAAGCACTCACCACTAATGAAGGAGGCGTTATTAAACAACTTTCTATCAAATACAGATCTAAAAATGTGTCAAGATATTTTTGGTAATTTATTTATAAAAAGTCATGGAACAATAGTTATTGTCTATGATGTGAGTAACATAGTCTCGCGACTACGTTAGTATTACAAATAACTCGTATCAGATGATTTATTTAAGAAAGCCAATGCAAATATTATATTTTTGATAATGTGTCTTCTACCAATGAAACTTTTTTAAACAGAACTGGGCAGTATAATTAAATAAAGATACAATATTGATCAAGAACACGTCATGCTTGTCTCCTGAAATACTTGCATTTAAATTCTTCTTCTACGACGCTTGCGACAAGAACGACTCAAAAGTATCAAGATTAATTTGCTCTTGACTTATCGAGTAGGTATATAACCAGAATTAGGGACGAAATAAGGGCCATCCACCCCGGCAACTCATCAGGTAAATGGACCTTATATCACTTACAAATATTTAAAATACTCAAATTTTAAATATTTAAAAATTGAAATATCAATTACGCTGAAATCACAAATGAGAAAACTGAAATAGTACAGCGCCAACAGCTGACCTGTGTGTACGTATCCGTATATTCTGTATTTATGTAATAAAGATAATATCTCTAACTATAGGGAGCTGTTCCATTCGGTGGTGTGGGAAAAATAGCAAAACATCTAATTATGAAACAAACGGAATCACATTTGATCGGTAATTAAATATTAAATATGTAATTTTGCAATTTTCGTCCATTATAGCAAAGCTCAAGTTAAACTGGTCGATTTGAAGTCAAACCATTGACACCCGTCAAATTGTTTCGAATTCGAGCTGGCCAATCGGAGCGCAGTGTTCACAGTAATTATTTGGCAGAACAGTTTTCAAACAAACTAAATGACATTTCGTTTCTATTTCTGGTTATATAGTCGATGTCTTGACTATACAAACTTGCGGTTTATCTTCTTCTCGTTACTGTCCTATATAATTTTGATTTTCTAGGCCGCTTCTCTGAACAAAGAGGATGAGTATTTACTGTAGCCTGTCCAACAGATATTTCTGCCACGTATACCTTATTCAAGTTATGCAAGGCTATTAAGATATTCTACAGACGTTATCATTTCAGTACGCAGCACTGCTGTGTTCCGGATTGAAGGGTAGGGACGGCCACCGCAATTACAGGCACAAGAGGGGTATTAAGGATACGTTTCTTTGGCAAATGTTTATAAGCGACGGTAACTACTTTCCATCAGCGATCTCAAAGCCATGGATCGCAAACAGTTTTTCATCGCAGTTAACAAAGTTTCGTACCACACGATCGTTATGTTAAATTTGATTTATAGTATCAAAGCAGACATTTATGTTTATCGATTTAATGAATATGGGCCATAAAGCCATCACAGACGAAAAAAATACGTAAGAAACTTAAAACTGAATCGTCTATACTGTTTTATAGAAACCAAATGGTGAAATTACAGGCACTTGTCAACTTATGTCTCAAGGTGACAGTGACGGTGCCCCCAGATCTTTATGATTCAAAACTCTGAGTAACACTGTAACTGTTATGGGCAAGCGTGTGGCTTACTACCAGGCGCACGACTTGTTCGTCCCGTCACTTGGTATTATGAAAAAAAACCAGCCTAATTTTTGATGCCATTTCAAAATCTCTGAAATTTTGTCACACTTATTTATTAAATGGAAAACTCCATATAGGCGAAATCTAAAATGATCACTGCTAATAAACAAAAAGAAGAAACAATAACACTACTTTTTAGAAAGAGACAGTGGTATATTATATTGTATTAAGCTATCTTTATCTCTATCTTCAATTCCGGTGCTTGTTTAATACATGTAATTAAAAGTTTATATCATTACGACTGTCGAGAGTTTTAATACAATATTTAATGCTCGATCATCACAACAATCGCTTCGCCGGTTTAGAATCGCTTCGCCAGTGAAGAAATTTGGCATAAAATTTTCGTCTATGACTTTTAGAATCATAATCGCTTTGAAGATCGGCGGTAACCCCCGGTTGGCTATGGAACTATTTGTTGGTTTAAATACCACAAAATGTTAAATAGATATTAACAATGCAATCTTCTTCTTACCGTATCGATGGCATAGATACCCTATATTATCGCGGCCCCGAACTTAGCCACGCTGATCAAGCCGCCATACTGGATTTTGCATGGGATATGTTTGGTGGTGAAAGGATTTACCAATCGGCGTAAGTTACTTACCGATTGTTGTTGCACCAGACGTACTAGGCATACGACTCATACGTCCCTACGCTCTTTTCGTGCACCCCAAAGTGAAAAGAAAATAGTATACTGACGATCTCGGTGGCTTGTATTGTGCTGGATACGGGGGTCCCGGGTTCCATTCCCGGTTGGACCAATTTGGGAAATTAACTCTTCTAAATTGGTGCTGGTCTGAGTGTTCTGGGAAGTGCCCCAGTAAAAACAGATACCTACCTATAGGTTCCATATCCGATTACCATATCTGACTCGACTAATTAAACTTTCGACACAACTAGGATATACTTTTTAACAGTTCTTCCTAATCCCTTCAATTCTATAAGTACCCATTACCCATCAAACGCCATTTTGCTCATATTGTCCCGGATTAGACAGCCCTAACAACCTCACGGTCGCATCTTCGCTTCGCAATCGCATCTCAAATGTTAAACGCCCATTGTTTCCCGCAAATGTTTATTAAGACGATCTGATAGGGTATCGCGTGGAACAGACGTCGGTGGAGGGACCGGCTGTCGCTAACGTATGCTGAATGCCCGGACTGTCGCATTGCCACAATGGTGCCTAGTCGATCGATTAGCACAGACATGCATATACGAGCACAATTGTCATAACTGCCTTTATTAACAAAACAATTTTCCCACTTTCTAAGGTCCTAAACGGTTTTATGTTTTTGTTGCTATTATTTATAAATGATTTGATTTAGGTACGTCATACGAATGTACCAGTGCAAGGTTTTTTCTTTTTGTCATGTCAAGTGACGGACGGACAAGTTGTGCGCCTGATGGTAAGCTACACGTCTGTCCATAACAGTTTCAGTGCCACTCAGAGCTTTAAATCGCAAAGATCTGAGAGTCATTGCCACTACGCCCGTCACCCTGAGACATAAGTTGACAAGTCCCATGTGCCTGTAATTTCACCAGCAACCTTACCCTTCAAAACCGGAATGCAGTAATGCTAACATTACTGCTTGGCGGCACACATAGGTACGCTGGCAGTATTACCCTGGACGAACTCTTTCACAGGTGTTCCGCTAGGGACAGGATTAGGCCCAATACTCTTTAGGCTGTTTACAAAATTAGTGATTTCGAAAGGTTTTATGGACTTGCAGAAAGCTAATGGAAATAAATGATGTATCCTTTTTCCTACAGACTGAATCCCCACGGCATGCAATTAAAAGTAATAAAATGCTAACCAGAACCATCTTTTTTAATTTCCCAACCTCGTTCGCGTGATCGACCACGAATATTAAAAGAAAACTAATTTCCATAATATAATATGGCTTTGATATCTGATCGGAATCGAGTTAACGTGCACTGAAATTATAAAACTATAAAGTTACATGGAGCGATATCGCGGTGTATGCATGTCTTTTCTTTTGGACAAATTCGCCGTAATGCTGTAATCGGCAATCGCGTGTCGGGGTGGAATTAATGAGAACAGCGGCAACCCGCTCGTTTCGCCGTGTGTCGCTAGCGAGACGTAGACGGGACAAATTGTAAGAACAACCGGTTGTCGAGACACGGAAATGTAGTTTCACTAACTTCGTGAAAAAATATAAATTACACTACAATTTTTTCATGAATCAAGTTATGTACTTTGATAAAAATGCATTCTAAAGCACTATAACCTTTGCCTAACTTGAGTGAAGTGATGTAGATGACAGAACCATTAACAAATTATTGCGTTATAGTGAAAGCTGCTAATAATAAAAAACTTTGCTAATCGTCAATACGTATTGAAATTTATTATGATCTATATTTACGTTAAAGCTTAGTTCATAGGTTCCCAAACTTTTTGGCTCACCGCCCTCTTGTTCAAGATAAAAAAATTTCAACGCCCACCACCACAAAAAATAATTAAAAACACGTATTGTTTATATTAACTTAACCCAAAAAATAGGAAGAAAAAAAAAATTTAGTGTAATTTATATAGATAAATCAAGTTTTTTTTCAAATGCTGTAGCCTCAATTGCTTCCGAGGCCCGTCCCGCCCCCTTGGACTCTTCAGCACCCACTGGGGGGCGGTAGGGACCACTATGGGAAACTATTGCTCGAAGCCCTATAGTTAGTAAATTCACATGTATCTCTGAACGCCCCGTCAGGCGCCATCGGGCGCTTGTCAACATCTTATCTGTGTTAAATTTTCTGTACCTGTTCTTATTTTATTCATGTCTCACCTCCTAAAATCTAGGCTCGCATTCAAATACCCCGCCTTAATTGGTTTTAACTTCTGAGAAGTAGTTTATTGATGCCTATTTTCTTCTCTTTCAGTACAGAAAGCATAACAACAGTTATTGGAGACATTTGCATTCGTGCTACCACATATCGTGCTAACCAAGACTAACTTAACTCGGTGGTTTCAAAATTGCTGTATATAAAACTCTATTTAACTGCTGTTCCTAACATAATTAGTTGGCTAAACGTTTCGTGGTCCCGCCTCGAATTGCTTGAAGTTTTTATGGGGGAAACTGAATTATTGCCAGTGGATGTCGTTTGTCTTTTCCACGTTAACGAGTTGTATAGAGGTTTCGTAACGCGACTCATGATTTAAGGGATATTTATTAGTTGTACTCATTGACTTACAATTATATGGACGTCGGGTCCGCGCTAAAAAGTGTCCGCACTTGTAAGGCGCTAAAATCGTATACAGAGCGCCAAACTCCGCTTTAGTCTTCATTTGTTCGACTGACAGCGCGATACTGCGATGACATTACAATTTAAATTTCGAATAGGTTGACTTGGGACATTTTTTTCGTGGTTTTTGTATTAGACCCGTCGTCCATTTATTTGTAAGTCAATGGTTGTACTATAAATTATAAGTAGGTAATCTTGTTGAAAATCAGCGCTGTCGTAAGTTACTGCAGCATATGTTGAGCTACATCCCGTGTTGGCATGATGCTACAATCAGTTGTAGTATTCTGAAGACCAAAGATGCAAGACTATCTACCTTGCATCTTTGGTCTAATTTTAATTGTAATTTTATGTCAAATAATTATTTGTAATTCTTGCCAAAGAGAACGGGCTCTCAAACTTTGTCCTTTATGGTTTCCATTTTATCTTTCCAGGGAGGCCAAAAGGACAGCACAGCGCGCCTCGCGGCGGCCCACCGCGTTCCTGGACAAACGCAGAACTAACAGAAGCCCTGCAACATGTTTGGAACAAAAAAATGACCACCAGCCAAGCTTCCAGAATCTTTGGCATACCCTACAATTCGCTCCTCATGTACGTGCGCGGCAAATACGGTAAGAGCCTCAAACTGGAGCAGCTCAGGAAAGACTGCATCGGCGGTCCGATGGACATGCTCAACATGAACTCTGGTAACAACAATAACAACCATCCGCCAAAACATCACGATAAAGAGGACCAGCATCAGAATACCGGCCAAAGACCAGCGAGTTCTGAGCCCGATATATCATCCAACCCAATGTTCAATCCATTTCCGCAAGGGTTCTACCCGGAGTTTCCGCCAGGGTTTCCGATGCCGCTGAATATGCTTCACTTGTTGCCGCCGAGTGATAAGGCTAGGGAATTGTACCAGTCGATGCCGATGGCTTTGGATTCTTTATCGGGGGTGACGAAAGAGGAGGATTGCAAGAGTGACAGGTCCAAGGAGAACTCGGCAGATGAGGAAGGAGACACTTACCGTGCGCCGTCACACCCCCCGCATCCACCCGATAACCGCACCCTGCTGCACCACAATGGACAAGACTAGATCTCGTAGCAACTTCTATTAGTTGAAACTTGGAATCTGTTTTTGTGTTAATTGGAGCAAAATTGCACTCAAAAACTTAAGTAAAAGGAATTGTTTACAATAATTGCAGTTGCAATTATTATATTATTTGAGTTTTTTTAAGTACCAATTGAAATCTCAAATGAAGATGATTTTTGTTTTCATTAGAGTTGATTTTTGTTCTTTTCAAACAACAAAATGTGGACTTGCCGAAAACGTTTTCGAGTTCCATAAATCTTGGCTCACGGCGACCACGTGAAATTAGTTAAATTTATATTTAATGATGTGTTAATATTGTAAATGTATATTCGCGTAAGTGATAGCCGATAATTTATTCCGAAGGAGTGCAATAAGTATGAAAGGTGTTGTGATTGTTATAATTAAGACGTTCCGTTTCACTTGTTCATATTAATTAACGTTGACATTCCGTTCCAACATTCCAATTTTCTTTACGAGTTTTTGTACGTTATTCCCATTAATGTTAGATGCATATTCTTATAATTTATTTTAAGTATAGACTCTTGCCTCTAGATACCCCTGTTGTGTTGACACTGTAGATATTACGTGTTAAATGTGCGAGTACACTTCTGCATTTCACCAAAGTTTGTAAAATATTTCGTAATGATAGTTATATTCGATTTTATATGTAAATAAATTAATAATAAAATTAATGGGAGGTAACCATTAAGACAGTAAGTGTCTAAAGCGGTAAATAGTAGTGTATTTGTAATTGTTGTAGTACTAGTGAAGTGGTTACAGTGAACGTCGATGTATCGATGAATAATATCGATAAGTATAGCAGAAGGGTCCGCGACGCACTCGTCACACTCTTTCGGAAAAACAAAATACAACTCATTTTCACTATCTCAGGAGTAACAAGAAAAGCTTAAAACAATACATTTCGTACGTTCATCACAAAATTATAAACAACTTTAAAGTACCTTATGTGGTTTCTTTGTCTGGTATTATTCACGACAAAATGGAAAAACCCCAATAACTAGTAACGACGGCGCAGAAATATATGTACAAGGACATTTTAAGGATAGTATTTGTTCCCTTACAACGTGTAAGAAAAGAAAAACCGACACAACGACTCTCATATGTTTTTGGACTGCCATTACTAAGATTTATTTTTCTTCAACCAAGAAACAAAAGACAGTGCTCGCCAGGAAAAGACAAATAAAGAATCTGCACTCAATGTTCAAATAAAAAGGAGCTTTTCAATATTTTAGTGAATAATAAAAAAATTAGATTAAAATCACCCCTATCTGGCTTTAGATAAAAATGTATACAATGATTTCATAATATTAGTAACACCATGTGACTAGATAGATCACCTATCAGTGTATATATTATTTGTATATTATAACTATGTTGTTACATTAATATTTTTCCTTTTAAACAATGATGCTATGAACATTCCAAATGTATGTTGTTTCTCTTAGGTATCTTATACAATGACAATGCACACTTTAATTACGTTACGTGAGGTTTCAGAATACCATTTTATCACACCAAAGATGCATTATGTTGGATTTATAAATATTGCAATAAAGAAGTACAACTTAAACCTGTAACCAAATTATTCACAAACTCACGACCGCATTTTAAACCTATTGAACGATTTATTAATCTAAAATTGTGCATCTTCGTAGAGAACACTTAAAGTTTATAATTGAAACTGCAAATTTCAGAAGACTGACACTATTTACGACTCTATTTTATAAATTGTACATTACACTTAATCACAATAGAGTTTACTTTGGTCACTGTACCACGTACTTTTTGTGTTACATCATACAGGCTACCGTATATTGAATTGTGTTGTTATTAATTTGCAATTGCAATTCGTCGAATTGCATTTTTTTAAATTACATGATTGTCTTGAGTTTTCGACTATAAATTTTCACTTTTAAAACATTTTTAATTTATTTATTTTTGGATGGTATCATAGTGACTATATCATCAAAATGACCTGATCAGCATAAGGATGTGGCCTAGCGAAAGTAAAATACGGGATCGGTGACATAAATTTAATAGAAGTACAAAATGAAAGAACAAAAGACTGTAACAAAAATACAATGATATAAAAAGGTACAACAGTATAAAACACTCTCTAAACAGTCTTATGAACAGTCCACTTACTCTAAGAGGCGCGTATTCTAATGATGAGAAAGATGTAAATCACGTGAAGTTAGGGTTTTAAATGAGGATACTTCATGAGCACGTCCTCTCGCTTTATGATGGGAGTGATGATGGAAGGAACCAAAATTAGAATAACGAAGAAAAGGAATTAGAGAACGATTCAAAATTTCTAAATGGCCAGGAACTAGAAAAGATGATAAAACGATGGGATAACGATGAAGGAGATCACATCGTCACAAGGAGGCCAGGTCATTTTCAAGATATAGTCTTTATGATACCCTTTTAAATATGCAAGTGTCCGAAACGATAAACAGTGAGCAAAGTAAACAAAAATCTGTAAAAGCAGCAACTTCGTACAGTAGTTTATACACATAGTCACATCATAATAAACAATATTATCATTACAGGGATTTTATATATTAACGAGTTGTATATTTGAATATGTACCTATAGTTTAACAGATTCTCTAATGTTTTTTTTTCTGTTTTTAGATTTTTTATTTCGCTGCCAGATATTTTTTTTAATTGAAAAAATAACGAACGAACGAAGAATGCTAAGTATAAACTAAAAAGTACATTTTCGAAAAAAATATCAAAATTCATTTTAGTAATTGTGTTATAATACAATGCATTTAAAAAAAAATATATCAACAATAATTGTGCTTTAAACCAAGCATTTGTATTATAAAATTAAATAAAGTTAAAATGACTACACTAGTGTCTAATAGATTCATTTGGATGTATGAAAATATGTATGTGCCAAAAAGTAAAAGTTCACCTGCAGTTTATTTCAATGACTGTCTGTCATTTTAAAATAAGAATTTAATATTTTAATGTTTTGACAAGTTAGTAGTGAAATTTACCATACCGAAATATGACAGTTTACATAATTGATACCCCAAGATTTCCTGTCCCTCAGTTCTGTAAGGAAGAGTCTCTATTAACTTGTCAATCGTAAATTATTTTGTGTTGAGACTTAAGTTTGTGTTGTCGGATAATTTACCTAATTCGTACAAATTCAGCAGTATTAGAGTGATTTTGTTAAAGTTTTAATTGACAAGTTAATTAAGTTTTGTTATTTGTTAGTGATAATAATTATGTGCGAAAGGACGGACTTATTTTAATGACAAGTGGCGGCAAATTCCCTCAACGGGCACATTGAGTTTCCTATTTTTTAAATAAATTTTATTTTGTATTGTACAATCGAATTTTAAACAGAGTTTGCTCACCAGGATGTCACGACATCCTTGTTGCGTTCACGACTTACGGGATATTTTGTCTTACATTAATCTGTCTTGTACAGCAAGTGGCCCGAAAAGCTAACTCTGTTTTCAACTGTACAACAATTTGACTTTTTAATTGAAAGTTCCTGAAACTCTTAAATTATTTATAGAATCTCGATTTGTAAGGCGCTAAGCATCACAAGGTATACCCAACTAACCGGCACCGTTCTATCAATTAATTCTATACCTAATTGATAGATACAGTTTTTACATGAACAGCCAAATGTAAGAACGTAAAATGTTAGATATATTTAAGACGGTACTTATTTTTAATTGATGAACATGTGATTGTATTAATTTAGTAGATTCAATTATTTAGTTCCTTCATTTTTGTTACAAATATATTTATGATAAATTGCAATGATTTTAGCTTTTAGATAATTGTTCTCCGATAAAGAGTATAATTAATTAATAAGTTGTGTAATTTAATTTGTTGTATTTTGCTTAATATAATGACAAAATAAATTAAAATGATATCGTTACATTAGGGTGTAAAAAAGATTATCTATTTGATCTTAAATAATACGAGAAAATATTTATGTTCTTAGTATCATTCTATCGTGTAATTGAATTGAGATGGAGCGTTGTAGTAAAATTCGTTTACGGTCACCGACGTAAAGTGTAAAAAATAAAAATGTGAAATACCATTGAGATGTTTTATTTACCACGACACGAAAACCACTTTCACCCTTTTTGTGTGCTATATAAATGACAATTCGCTCTTTTGTAATATAAATGTCACCCAGGTGTAGCATAAGAGCACCATCATAAGAAATTGTAGTGTTAAATTTTTGATTAAAATATCTTCTACCTCAGAAACAGAGATGGTCAAAGGCCCGGGTTTCAACCCGACGATTTGTAAAGACCGGGATTTAATCGGGCTAAAACCCACTTAAGCCCGAAATCAAGGGCAAAAACTATTTACAACTAAATATTTGTCGTAAGTCGAGTTTTCATTAAGTTTATGTAATTATATTATTACAAAATGTTTATTATTTTCTAATCTAGTTGATTTAATTTGCCTTTGCGAAATATGATGCATCCTTAGTCGTGAGACTCTTTGAGTGAGAATTGGCAAGGTGGATAATGTGTGGAGATTCGTTTCGTCTAAAAATGCTTTTTTACATCGAAATTTTCAGTAAGTATATTATATTTTCAGGTAGTATGGCAAATTTAGTATTCGACGCTTCCGCCCACGATTTTGGGCAGAATGGGTTAAAATCTTTCGATAAATCACAGGTAAAACCTGGGCGGGTTGATAGCCCACTACCCATCTCTGCTCATAAACGATAATAAAATATTAATAACAGCCTATGCACAGTACCACTGCTGGGCACCGGCCTCCTCTCACAGTGAGAGAGCTTGGACTGTAGTCCCCACACTGGCCAAATCCAGATTGAAAATTTCACACACATCATTAAATTGTGCAAGTTTCCTCACGATGTATTCTTGCAACGAGAGCTCATGGTGAATTTCAAATTCAATTTCATAAACAAATAAATATTAAACATCGCGTACGTTGCTCTGATTCCAAAGTAAATAACTAAAACACTTGTGTTATGGAAATCGGAAACAACGACGGTACCACAAACACCCGTGACAAAATAAATAATAATAATAACGCACACACTTAACATAGCCCCGCACTAGGGAAACCCTGAAAGTGACAATATAGAAAAGTTTTCTGCAACCGGTGGGTATGAAAACCGGTGTGCAAGCCACTCGACTACGGAGATCATCGAATTCCGTAAACTCAGATGTGCAAGCCCGGATTCGAACCCACAAACCTCTGCTCGAAAGGCGATAGGCTAAATCATTAGTCTACCACGACTATTATATACATAAATTATATATATTCATAAACAATAAACCAAATCCAAGTCCAATATTTTACTAGGTACTTTTATTTACAATTTTTACACAATTTCAATAAATTACTAAACTTTAATTATGTTTTTAAATATTGCCTTTCAATTATTAGTTTATAACAAGTTAACAAATAACCGGAAGACCTATCACAATTTACCAAGTTGCATAAACCTAGTCACAATAGCACCTAATTCAGTGGGCAAACGAGTACGTTCATTCGTAGACGCATAAGCGTGAACTACACGACTCAATTGAGAGTGTAGCTCTAATAACGCTTTTATACCAATGCTACGGAGTCTATCTATGTTGTTGTTTAAAAGCATGTCGAGCTCGGCTTTGTTTATCATTACTTTTGTATTTTCTGAAAAGGAAATTTTTTATATAATATCAAGTGACGGGACGAACAAGTCGTGCAGGTGATGGTAAGCTACCCGCCTGTCCATATAAGCTACCCGCCTGTCCATAACAGTTGCAGTGCCACTCAGAGCTTTAAATCGCAAAGATCTTAGGGGCACTGCCACTGCGCCCGTCAATTACTCACACTTACTTACCAAAACCATCATTTTGCTTGTCAGTTATAGAGTTCTTCTTTCCTATTTCGCAATTAATAATGGGATGTTTGTCATTATTTATTGGTATCAGTTTGTTTTCATTATCCGGGTTGTGCGGTTGGTGGGGGAACTGCGGGTTGGGGCTGGATGTCGTTCCTTCAACTTTGCTCTCTTCTGTGGTCAGCTTGAATGGTTAAAAAAAAGTTGTTGCATCCAACAGTATGTCGCTGCTTTGCAAGAATAATGGTTCAAAGCAAAATAGTTCATTTTGACTTATCACAGGGCTGCATTTAGAATGTGATAAATTTAGCTTCACATTGGTTAAAATCCCACCGTTGATATAATGTGCTTGGAGTGAGGTTCATTAATGAAGCTTACTAATTAGGAGTAAGGTTAATGAACCTCACTCGAAATTATTAAGAATTCATTCATTATTGAATGAAGCTTACTAATTAGGAGTGAGGTTCATTAATGAAGCTTAGGTACTAATAAGAAGTGAGGTTCATTAATGAAGCTTACTAATTATAAATGAATTTGAAGTTGTTATTATTAATAAATGTTATATTGCTGAATAAACGCTTCTTTCTTTCTTTCTTTCTATTAAAAAACTCAAAATATGTTCGGAAATGCAAACAAATTCACTTCTGGCGTTTGCCGGCCGCTACCGGGGCACGCTTGTTTAACTCGCTCGGTTCGTGTTGCACCCCTAAGCTCGATGGAGCAGCAAGTGGTTATGTGGGACTCCAGAACAGTAGGAAGCCCAGTATACCATCTATAACAACGCTGTTAAGCCCGCGTCTCAGGATCCGCTTGCTACTGAAACGCCTCGGTGGATGGTCTGTAGGAGCGAGCCCAGGCCTTCCGAGGATACCCCCGGGATAAAGAGGAACACCCTCACTCAAGCTTGGTGATATGGTCTCCGGTTCATGTGTAACTTAACCTACTAACGGGGATACTAGGCACCCAGGTTAGACCCCGCCCTGGCATTGTACTTTTGGATTCATTTGTTATGTTTATATAATTTTATCCAATAAATATCAATAACTTTGTCGAAACGAATGTTCAACAATTTTAGCTATGGAAAACACAGTAGGATAAAGATAAATTGCCAAAAAAATACATACATGTACCTAATAATTGTTCTACTAACAGTCATCGCACTAATGAAAAAAAGTCGACCCGTGTACGAAATAAAAAAAAGTTGTGTTTGTGATAGGTTATCCGGAAATTTACTCTACACCCACGACTACACTTGCCACGTTCGAAAGCATATAGTTTTCATCACGTCTTCCCTTGTTGGGCAGACAGCATGCTCTATCTAAACTATCAACATTGTATATATTACTACAAACTCACATTACATATTAGGGCAGTCCTTGGTCGTTTTCGAACACTATCTTCTTTATAATAAATATCTGTTCGGCGTTTGCAGCTCTTCCTTTCTCCTTTGTTTTTTCCGTCTTTTATCGCAAATGGCGGATTATATGTACTACCTGTAATAATTGTTTTTTTTTATTATTATTTACAGTTTCTCGAATGAGATGATATGTAACATCTAGCAATAAGACTTAATTTAAGTAACAACGTAGAACAAATTTGCATAAGTATATGTCAGCACCAGTTAACATATACTTTAATTTTTATATTCCTTAGTAGGAACACAGCTCCTTATGAAAGAGTTTATCCAGGGAACTACTGCCACCTTACCTATTTCAGCCAAGCAATAATGTGAGCATTTCTGCATTCCGGTTTCGAAGGGTACGGGTGCTGGAGAAATTACAGGCACATGGGACTTGTCAACTTACGTCGGGGGCAAGTGACAGCGCCTCTCAAATCTTTGTGATTTAAAGCTCTGAGTTATTTTGCTACTGTTATAGACAGGCGTGTTGCCATACTATCAAGCGCACGACTTGTTCGTCCTGTCACTCAGTTATTATAAAAAAAATATTCTTTTTAACTTTTTTCTTTACACCTTATTATAATTAGTTACTTTCTTACTCTATATACATCTACCTCACTCCTTATGTTAAAATCAAAATGCCGCTAACCTAATTTAGAAAAATAAATATAATCATTATAGTTGAAATCGTCACTATCAAAGCCTGTCTCCCCTCGTCTCCTTGCGATGATCTGGCATTCTAGCTCCAGATTTGTGTCGACTTCTTCTGCCACCAACGCATATGCGTCTGAATGCAACGCACAAACATCTTGACGATGTCGCTTCTCAGTAGATTGTCTGAAAAAAATATTTATTACGTCTATTGAAATGTTCCTAAATAAGATTCTAGATATTGGAAATGAAACTGTTGTTCTAGTTCTAAATTTGTTTGTTTTTAAACAAACCTACGTTTTGGCCACGGGTTACTGAAATGTTAAACTGGTAGTTATGTCTAACATTAATGCAAACAACTCTATTTTTCACAGTAGTTACAAAGATTCTAAATAACGAACAATTCTAACCTTTTTTATAAAAAAAAACCGACGTCAAAAGTTCGTGGTATTGCACCTATTTGCCAAGTTTTATTGAAATCGGTTACGCGAAACCGAATTGATTTACCCCCTAGTTTGTTACAACACCACAAGTGTTGTTAGTTTGCCACCTTATAGTTGGAATATTTTTTCTTAAATGGAACCAATACCAAATGGGGCCGGAGTTGTCGCGTAACATACATACAAAAAATATACAATCGAATTGATAACCTCCTCCCGTTTTCGTTAAGTCGGTTAAAAAAGAACAAAAATATAAAACTTAAATCTGGAATATTTTTTTTGTTTTTTATATTTACTTTAATTAACTAAACTCTAGAAATCTAAAACGCTCATCCCATAAAAAGAAAACCTATTGACTGATTATTTAACGTCATTGAAACAAATATTTTAGTGGCCTTTTTACAACGTATAGAGCCCAATAACAAATATTTTATTAAATATTATTAAACTCTAAAGAATTTCCATTACAATCGGTGCTTCTAATAGTATATGAAACGATGTCAAAAGTTATTTGACTACAGGGGCACAGGAGCGGTTTTATTTTGCAGTGCGATGCAAACGACGTGAAAATATTTACAGACAGTAGTAATGATACGTTACATTATGATTTTTATGGTTAATATTTGTCTATTTAGCGTACAGTATAGGATAAAAATATTTCATTATACTTTACTAAATATGCTAGGTAACAAAAATAATTACAAAGAATTGCAACAGAAGATAACATGCCAAACCATGACATATTCAAGTGTAATTACAAAAATAAAAGAGATTTTTGGTTACAATAAAATTGATCTAAGTAATTTTACCTGTCCAAATTGTATTGCAACGAATTAGCGCAAATAAGATCTACATCGTCAAGGAAATCTTTTGCGCAGTAACATCTTTGCAAGTCAATCTTACTTAACAACGTTTGGAGATCCATTGGCTTCTTTATCACGTCTAAATAGTCTTTCACCTAAAGATAAATAAACAAATATTGAGTGGTACGACTAGAAGTGACTCACGATACGAGAACGGTTTCCGGAAGTGACAGATTAAAGATCTATTCGCACATATCAAACCAACAAGTAATGATCAACAAGAATTTGTCTCTGTTTTATACAGATCTTTGTTTTATGGATTTAGAGTCCCCGCACACTACAGACTTTCTATCGGCCGATAGTTTAGTCGGGTCCTTAATCAGTATGAAGATGTATGCAAGTGCGCACATTATAACGATTCGATATCGATAGAAAATTTTGATGGGCTACCCAATTGCCTTCAAACTTTTCTGTCGGCAAACTATCGGTCGACTGCTAATCAGTACGGCGCTCTTCCAATCGCGCACATTTGCCGATCATTTAGTCGGCCGACTTCGGCGATAGCTTCACTGATGTTATAAAAAAAAACTTCACTCGGAGCGACAGCGCAGGGCGGTCGTGTTATGATAGCAATTGACATGTTCATTGAAGCTGGTTATGCTCATTCGATAATAGGCAAAGAATTTTTTTGGGAAGTCTAATAATTTGGAATGCATCATGTAAAATTTTCTTTGTAATAATGTATCACCGTGGATGGGACGCACGCAATACTCTCGGTTTCTGTTCTGGATCCTTTTCCTCCGTTGTATAAAAGCAATAATATTTCTAGACAATTTTATTTTCCTTACGCAACCGCTGCCTTCAAGAGCAGCTTACCAACTAGCAAAATTTTTCGAGAGAAATCGGACGACAGTTTACTAATCTGCGCACTCACCACCAACCAGACTGTTTAGTCGGGGTCAGTGTGCGCGCTAGCAGCCCAACCCGACTAAACTATTGGTCGATTAAAAGTCTGCGGTCTGCGGGGGCTCTTAACGGATTCTTTGCCGTAGCGCCACATGAGACAAATCTATGAAATAATAGTTTTAAATTGTAATTCATTTCGTAAAACTGGTATTTGCCATTGTTATGGGCCATGACTTACAATGTCCAAATTGACAGGCATAGTGAACTTGTAGAAACGGCGATCTGCTGACAGCGTCCTGCAAATGCAGCGAAGCGTAACCTTCATCAGCTGCAAGTTCTCGTACTCATGGCGCCTACGCCGTTCCATCTGTTCCGGATTCTCACCAGGTTTTTCTGGAGCTAAAACATTTATAGTCATCAACTCATCGCCGTTAAGACTCAATCGACCGAAGACCTTAGCCGACGAATTGTGTAGGAAAATATTGATGCGTGTTGATGAAATGTAGGATAGTAGCAAGTGGAAGGGTGTAGTCCCTGTCTACCTTGAAGTGGTAAGTAAGTCATGCAACGCTATTTTTGGAATACCAGTTTGAATACCAAGTAGCGGGGTAGACTGTGTCACGTGTTTCTAATGTGCGCGATTTGGGCTTAGATGTCAACCAAGAAGTGAACTTTAAAAACCACGTAATAAACATCATGCGCATAACCGTTAAGAATATTGGGCCTGATAATGATAAATGGGTGTTGCTGGGTCTGTCCCGATTACGCAGGCTAATATAGATGATTTTAATGCCATCATGCGAAAGAAATCGGCCTCGCTGCTCTGCAGATTACGAGATAGTTCCAATTCCATCCTAAGGGTGATAGCAGCTCAACACGATTCTTCCATCATGCACACTGTGTAGACAGATACATCTCGCACACAAAAATAGTGACTAAGTAAGTAATAGTAATTGTAATGTAATGGATTTCCCCATGACGTGTAATTTTTTAAATTTTAATTGTTATTCAGTTAATTATTCTTATTTTGTTTGCTAATTTGAATTTTTATTTTAGTAATTTTATATTTTAGTTATTTAAAATTTTTACTTTTGACTAAATTATTATTATTTCAGTGAATTTCATATTATGTATTTTTAATATTTGACATCTCGATTTTGAAAATTTTAATGTACACTTAATATATATGTATATACAATTGTAAGTCAATGTATATACACCATATATTCACCGTACACTCAGTTGTTACTAATATGGTATAAGGTTGCTTACTAACAAACTATGGACTTATGCTGTCTAAAAATAAAAGATATTTATTTTTATTTATTTAAATGCTGCAGGCTAGGTATTACCGCGGAACCGATGAAATTAAAACATTATATAGTTCAAGCAGGAGACATTTCACAAACTTCAAAAAGTGTATTTTTTTACCCCCAGCTCATTTTGTTCTTGACGGTATACTGTACCAGACATAAGAGGGAGCCTGGCATTGTTCAGGAACTATGAACTTCATTAAACGTATCCATTTCAAATAGAAATTTGAGAAGGGGACCCAAAGATCAACGTTTTTAGTGTCGGCAGTTCGCATAATTAATATCCTTACTAATGTTTCTGGAAGAATTCTAAATGGATTTTCATGGTCATTTTTCATCGTTCACTCACAAAATTTTCCAGAAGAAGCAATGTTTTTATACAATACTCAGTAAGAAACTTTTGTCACTGTCTATATATTTATACTTAATATTAAATAATAAATAAATAACGCACACACTCAACATAGCCCCGCACTAGGGAAACCCTGTGTCGCGGGTGCCATGGACACACACATAGACAACCACAAATTACACCCAAACTCACGAGAGAAATAATTGTAGTCCATACAACTATTTCTCCCGGCCCGGGAATCGAACCTGGGACCTCTGCGTGGCAGTCCGGCATGGTAACCGTTCGGCCACGGAGGCAGTTAATAAAATAAATAATAATAAAAAAAAGTAAATATTACTATGATATTGGGAATCCTGGAATGAAAATGTTTACAGAAATAAATACATAAATCAAATATTGGAATTACAGTATTTTTTCTTTGTTCATTCATAATCATAATCATGCTTTAGCAAGTTTAAGGAGTTGTCGTGAATTCAAAATTCGTATTTACTTTATTAAAATGAACTCTTTCGTCTGTATATAAATATATTTCGCAATGTCTTAATGTGATGCAGAGGGTAACCTGTCAGTAGTCCGAAATGACATTTTCCAGAAATAACGTTTGGTCGAAATTTCATAACCTCGAAAGTAATTTTAAGAGGAAAATGCTTTTTTCTTTTAAACCTAACTGACCCTAACCTAATATATACCTAATACATAACTGAACCTAATCGTGTCTTTGCGATAAACATTCAACATACCCTGAAAGAGCAACTGTTTCGTTATAATTCGGTTTTCGGTGTAATGAAAATTCGAAAAAACGTTACTTCGAACAAAAAAATGTTCGAGTTTGTGAGAGGTTACTGTTGTGGAGGCACTGCAATGCCCCTGTTAACTCGAGAAAATAAGACAGTATTAGCAATGCCTTTAATATTTAATACCCAATGATCTTATAGTACATAAGATGTTTTAAATATATTATAGTATATAAGAAACTATATACATTTGTTGTTTTATTCCTGTATTGGTATTAATGCAAACTATAGGAATCAGGAGGAAAAAGGGCGTGTCACAAAATTGGGGTTTATGAAACACTGTCCGAACTCGATGACCTAACGGTTTGCACTGTGGGCGCTGGATGCTGAGGTCCCGGTTTCAATTCCTGGTAGGACCAATTTGAGAAATGAACTTTTCTAAATTGGTTCTGGTCTGGGTGTTCTGGGAAATGCCCTGGGAATTCCGTTGCTCTGGTACTTATAGTACCTACAGGGAATTCCCTAGTTTGAGACCAAGCAATGGTGTGGTTGGCCGAACGGTTACCATGCTGGTCTGCCTCGCAGAGGTTTCGGGTTCACTTCCCGGGCCGGGAGAAATATTGGTATGGTCTATTTATTTCTCTTGTGAGTTTGGGTGTAATTTGTGGTTGTCTAGTGTAATATAACATAATACCATAACACCCACGACACAGGGTTTCTCTAGGAGGGTCTTAAAAAGTATAAGATCATTCCTTATACACAATTTTTTAATTTAATATTGCATATGAAACTATTTTTGTTATGTGTATCAGGTAACCTATATATGTTTTTTAAAACATATCATCGTGACCATGAGAACTACAAAATGTCGATAAACTTTATATTATTGTGGCAAACCTCGAGGTAACTCAGGATACATTTCCTTCTTATACACGATGGGCGGAACTAAAGGCAACTCCGTCATGACAGGCTGGAGAAAATTCAACACTTCAGAATCAGTTGGCATGCGCACTCTGTATATGCAGTCTTTATAAGCAGGAAATATGTCTTGCAGCTAAAATGTTGAAACAATTAATTAACGAACATTTTTTTAGAGTTTAAAACAAGCTAATTTACTAAGTTATTAAAGTAACTAATTCACCCACAATGGAGCAGATGTTAAAAAAATCTAAAAGCTATTAGCGGGAGTTACACATAAACCGCCTTTCGAATTTGCTTATCGTCAGGAACAGTGCAAAACCGCGTATACAGGGTGTAACCGTTAGTATGTCCAGGCGAATAAAAATATAAAAATATAAAAGATTTAAAAACCTTTAAACTGATACCTAAAGTATACGTTACCTAATGAGTAAAACGACAATTTTTTTAATAAAACTAGAAATATCCGAAATTTTAATTTTAAACGCTCCTTGGCATTTAATATGATAATCGCAGAAAGGTTTTAGTGGACCTACTTTGAGGTAACAATAAGTTTACGCATAACGGAAGTGCTATAAACAAAGTAATAAAACTATCTTTTAATTCAATAAAAAGTGATGTTTATTTTTAAGTACAAAATTTTGTATTCAAAGCAGTTTTTCGAAACTAAAGCGTCTCTACGAATGTCATATTAAAGGTATGGGAACGTTGAACGGTAAAATGGTGGATATTTCTAGTTTAAAAAAGGAAACTTCCGGTCCACAAATTTATTTAACGTGAAGTAAAAGGTAAAGTAAAAAAACCCTTATCGGGTTTTATTATGTAGAATTACGCGGTCAAGCAGAGAGTGACCGTGGTACCAAGCAAAAATGAGAAAGTGAAGGAAGATGGAACAATTCAAATTTAAAATTTAAATACAAGCAAAAGAAAAAATGATACGATACAAAAAGGTTAGATGACGGTGTAAGGAGGTCACACCGTCATATGCTTATCACACTGGACCAAAGTCTATGGAAGAAGGTTTTTAACATTATAACTTTTTTTTATTTTAATGAATAAGAGAATTCATATTTTGCACAATAAGCATTAATTTATGTTGTCTATAGACTAATAACATCAACAAAACTGATACCATAAGTTCCATGGTATTGAGATCTATTATGGCTTTAAGTATGAAATTGCCGTTTCGTACTGAAAAATTTAAAAAAATTTTTTGGTAAAATAAAATATATTTCTTTAATCAAAGTATTTCTCGTTGTCTATTCATTTCTGGCATCTAATCGGAAGATCATTTAAACTTTTTTTTTCTAGGGACCTGGACTCCACAAGCTGTGTGAAGGCATTTTGTACTGGTTCCTGGGAAGATTTTTTTCCATACAAAAAATTGTTCGAATCGTGGAAAATGGTCGTCGGTTGGGGCGAGGTCCGGCGAGTACGAAGGATGAGGGATGGTTTCTAACTGCAGGTCTTGTAGTGTTAACACTGTTTCTCGAGCAGTGTGAGGTGTTGCGTTATCATGGAGAAATAATGAAGCTGTTTTTCTGCGCGTTTCGCCGTCATTGTTCATATGCCATTTGTCATATTGTGGGTATGCTAACATTAAACAATCCCGCTAATTCCATGGTAGTTTGATACCGATCGACTTCCATCATCACCTTCAATTCGATGTTATTTACCTTAGTAACTGGTCTTGCTCGTGGTTCATTTTTCAAGTCGAAATTTCGAAAATTGTCGAAAAACGCACGGTGCGTTCGTTAAACACATTCTCTTCAAACACAGCATTGACATTATGAACAGTTTCTGCTGCATTAATACCATGTGGGATCTCATATTCGAAAATTACCCAGAGTTTCGCTGTATCCATCTTCACGTTACAAGCTGAATGTAAAAACAATTGAAAGTCGAACAATCAAATATCATGTTTTTTTTTTAATTAAGAATGTTTTAATTTTCGAGTGAAAATAGTTTCACTCTGAAATCTGATACCATACAGGTCTAATTTTAATTCAAAGTGGCCAGTACGATAAATCGAAAAATTCAAATTTAAACCCCTTTAAACCCCTATTACAATACAAGGAAATTATTTTAATCATCAAAACAAAAAATAATATGAGTAAAGAGGGAGTAACATTTGTTTTTTATGTATTTTTTCAACAAAATTTGCAAGTTTCCAATAAAACAATTATTAATTATAGTGCAATTTGGACAAGGTTATTACAATACCTCGAAAAAAAATTATGTTAAAAAATACAAAACAGAAATTAATTAATTACTATTTACCGCATATAATGGTTTCCGCACACGATTTTGGACAGAATTGGGTTAAATTTGGACGCTTTAACCCAATGCCCGAAAAACTCAAATTGGCTACATTTATCAAATACGCGGAACTATCCAGATCCCCGACGTTATGCACTATATACCTACAAATAATACTTGGATTACAATTATAGGCTAATCTATATTTTACCTCTTGTGGCAGTTTCTCAAAGTCACTACAAGTGGCAAGTAGCAGCGTCTTGTCCCCAACCGGTCTCGTCTTCCACATCTGTTGTAAAATCACAGCTCCTTGTTTGCTCTCTGCAGTACTACAGATAGTCAAGAGATCAGGAACGAAGATCACGCAAGCTCGATCAGAGAGACGGCAGTCTGCAAACACCTGTGAAGAAAAAGTTTTTGGGACAGAGATTTGGCCACAGTGTTACCCGATATTGGCTTAAGGGTGTGAAGAGATTCTTCTTGGTGTCTATCGTGAATTTACTACACGTATCAAAACTTTATCTAAAACATTCTAATGCAATATTTTACTCACAGAAATAACCGCCTGTTGTGGAGAGTTGTAACGCCCCGAATGTAAAGTGGCGACACTTAGCTCTTTCACCAAGCAATGATCTAACTGGGCTAAAAGAGCGGGCACGAAATGAGTTTCTGCACATTCTCCGCAAACCAGGAACACACCTGAACTGTTGCATAGAGAATATAGAAAGGTCATGACATATGAATAATATCTAGGTACATACACATTGATACATATGACATCTTGAGATGGCGTGACGAGCTTGATGCTCATATCTGCCGCAAATAATTTTTAAGATATCATAAAAACCATAACCCCGTACTTAGGATATTGAAATTCTTTAATGATATTTCAGCTATGCATTGTTAAGGTAAGTTCCGATAAGTCAAACACGTTAACTAGTTTTTACGGTTTTTAAAAAAGAATTAGAAAAAGAATTCTTGCTCTATTTTTAATCGACTTCAAAAAAGGAGGAGGTTCTCAATTCGACTGTATGTTCTTTTTATCTCTTTTTCTTTTTTTTTTGTATGTATGTTACGCGATAACTCCGGTATTTGTGAACCGATTTTCGTGGTTCTTTTTTTTTTGTTGGAAAGGGGGTACTTCCATAGTGGTCTCATTTCATTTTGAAGAAAATCATCCACCTCGAAGGGTGACTGTTCACGCATGAAAATTAATTTTTATAAATAGCGCCTAACTTTAATTTAGGAACAATTACTTTAATGGTCGATTTTGCTATTTCTCCAATTCAAGGCGTTTTTCTCTCAATATACTTTGAGTAGTGAGAACCGAGTTTTATTATCTCCAGTGTCAAGTCGTGTATAGTGGCGAACTAGGGGATATTTCAATAAAACTTAGCAAAGAGACGTAATTCTACATACTTTTGAGGTCGGTTTTTAGTACTCTGTACTGAGATTATTGTTATCTCCAGTGTCAAGTCCTGTATAGTGGCGAATTTAAGGATATTTCAATAAAACTTAGCAAATAGACGTAATTCAACGTACTTTTGAGGTCGGTTTTTTTAGTACTCTGTACTGAGATTATTTGTTATTTAATAAGGTTATTTGACCATTTGTCACTTAGCCGCATTGTAGTTAGTGGACGGCATATATGAAATCTTGGCCTGTAGTGGAGTTAAATCACGACGAATGAAAGAATTGACGGGAGCCCTTTGCCCTTATGTGGGATAGTAACGACTGAAGAATGAATGAATAAATTTACATTGCAAGTACTCGTAGGTACAGAGCGGCAAACATATTTCGGCTAAGGTAATAAAAGGCGCTAACGCTACCACGTTGAAGGAGACACAGTAACTGTTAGTTGATCATATTAATACCACCAATATTACACGCAGATAAATTAGTTAATCTCAATTACAATTTCTTTTTCTTTCGGGAAAACATGGAAGTTCAAAGTCTGATCTATTGTAAAACGTTTATGATATTATATATTTCCCAAATTCTACTGTTTTCAAACCTCTTACGACTTGATTTCGCACCTTCTTTCCCCAGGAGGAGGAAAGGCATTTCTCAGTAATATCGCTGCAGCATCAAGCTGGGCTTGCAACAACGGCGCGCAGTATGGTGGCAGACTGTGGACAACTATAGGACAGCTTCGGTTTCCCGATGGAAGCACCTCATCTATCGCTGCCTGGATATCTTCCATAGTCACTTGAACCTGAGCATGGAAAAACAGTAACTGATTCGACATCGACACCGGACAGCCCTCTTGGCCACAATCTGATGTTAAGCGACGATGTAACCGACAACGGTACGACTTTGTCTATAAAACATCGATTCATTCTAACCTTGAATAACCACAAGTTGCAGTGTTCAGAAAGTACAGATTGTCGTGTTGGAAGAAGAAGGGAACGTACCTAATTCATACGAATGAATGGTATATCAAAGACGTTAGTGGTGTGTTCCGGACTTTCTAGTCGACCGAAGGAGAAATGGCTTTGCGTAACTAACGGTCGTATTTCAAGCACTAGAAATCATACTCAAGTCCTGACTTGAGCATTGAGTAAAGTTCTGGAATACGACCGTAAGTGGCATTAAGCGCCTCGTAAACGACCAAATAATTGGTCAAATTTTAGGTGTTTGTCAAACTTTTTGATCATCTGCGATCGTGTTTGATGCGTTTGTCAAATACTGTAGGTGTTTGACGTGTTTGACGGAAATCTAGAGTGACGGCATGTTTGATAAACATGTTTGAAGGTATGTTTGTGGGCATGTGTGTCAAACTAAACTTCAGTAATCGCCTATGCGTTCACCTTGCTAGATTCCGTATAGTCTGGTTCTGTGCGCAATATTTCTTTTAACAAATTTTCGTAGATAGGTATGTTTTTCTCTTAATTGCAGTCATTCTCTATAGCAATGTATATTTCTTTTTTTCTTAATACATAGTGCTAGAATTAATGCCAGAAACGCTTTATCTATTATTCTTACTCATTGCACAAGTTACAAAGACATATGACTCATTGTATTACCGATATATATATTATTAACGACAGTACGGTACGTACGACTGCAGAAAGAAATGACCGAGTGTGAATTACAAGTAAGTTTGTCAAACTTGTTTGATGGTTTATTTGATCGTTTGCGACATTGTTGTTTGAATAAAATGTAACGTTTGAAGGATATATTTGATAAATTATTTCATCATTTACGCGGCGGTTTACGTAGCAACGCATACTGCATTTGGTGCGTTAAAATCACGGAAGAAAAAACAATGGAAGTGCCTTAGGCCTCGATTACTATCAGAACCAATGTGTCGCCAAAATTTACATACTTAATTTTAAAACCCTACAAAATCTTCATATTGATTGGTCGTAGTTTTAAATTTAAAAAGAAATAACGAATTCTGGACCGTTAATATAATTTAAACTTGACCCTGTTGGTATATCGTTGAAAGTACAATACCATCAATACCTATTGTTACAAGTTACGACGTTTTGATATTATATTGAAATTTCAATCAATGTGCTGCCGTCTAGTGGTTAATTTCTGAACCACGACAAATTGGAGCTATTAATTTAGTTCTTCAAACAAGAACCGACCATGTTGCAGGAGTATAAGCTATACTTTCGTTTCTTGTAACAAAAAATTATTTCGATGAACAGAAAATTGAAAATGTATTTAAAATAAGCCTTTCCGATGATATGAAATACCACCACGGGTAGTATTTTTGGTGCGGCTATCATTTTTGCACTCCAAAATAGCACAGTAAGGCATTTTTCTGGATTTTAGAGAATTTGCACGAAAGAATAACACAACCATACCATACAAAACGAAAATGGCGATCTGAGCTCAGATAGGCCTTGCGAGACCTATAGTTGGCACGCGTCAGACGCTAAGTAACCACTTCTTCTGTTATTTATTGTTCTGTAGTTGAAATACATAACATTGCGACGACGCAACGCCTGTGAGGCATCGCTGTAAGCCTTTAATTAACACTTAAAAATTAGGCTTACGTTTCTTGCATCAACCAAAAGTTTGTGTTCAGTCTCATAGATCTGAGGATAAACTCTTTTAACTGCTTTTAAAACTGCTTCAGAGCACAATACTTTTATGTCAGAACCTGCAACATATCGTACACAGAATGTTAAAGTAACTTAGCCCAAAATAGATAACTAAATTGAAATACCTACACAGAAAAAATACTGCGTTTTCACGTGTAAATTTTTTGGTAAAGGGAATCACACTTCTTACCAAGATATCCAGTCGTCATCGTGGCGATCTGATCCAAAGTCGTTTCGCTAAAAGACGGTGACCAATCTTTAGTGTGAATCTGAAAGATTTCCTTTCTTGCATCGTGTTCCGGTGGTGGGAAGTATAGCTCTCTGTCGAATCGTCCCGCTCGACGGACCGCTGGATCCATCGCATCTGGACGATTTGTCGCGCCTATTACTATTATCTCACCTCTGAAAATAAATTACAATATTTAACTAATTCCAGTTGCTGCTCCTACTGCTGAATATAAATAACTAGATTATAAATAATATAAAAATACATTTGTTTTAAAATCTGCAAGCACATTGCCAAACGAACCTGTCGCAAAGGCCGTCCATTTCAGCAAGCAGCGTTGCAACCACGCTAGCATGTGTCTGCCCATCTCTAGTATTTCGAATTGGAGCCAAAGCATCCACTTCGTCAAAGAATATTATAGACGGCTTCATTTTACTTGCCTATGATAACATTAAAGTAACTTTATAAGAACTTGTAAACCTAACTTTTACAGGTAATAAATACGCAATACTTAAAACTATATATATAATATATAATACTTAAATAATAAAAATACGGTAATAAATAATAGGTATATAACCTACCAATACGATTTGCAATCCGATAATTTGATTTTTCAACTAAACAATCTTAAAAACAATTCAAAAGCATATTTTGCTATCGTCAGTACGACGACAACAGTATAACTCATTCAAACAAAATGTATAGGGATATATTGTCAATAAAAACCTTGTCCTACCGTATACGAATTAAGTACCTACTGTAAAAAATAGCATGATTATCACTAATTACAGGTTTCTTACCACGGTATGAGTTCTTCTTGTTTTCCTGATTTTTCGGAACAATTACACGCTCCATGGTCTGTCTGTCAGACTATCTGAAATAGTCAACCCGTGACCATGGAACGTGTAACCGTTCCGAAGCCACGGAAGCCTTAGATAAAAAATAATCTCAAAAATTGCACGTTATTAATATATTCTCCCCAATTGTAAGATTTGTTACTTGGATTCCGAATTGCGGAGTATAAAATTTGTTGACAGTCCTTGGATGTAAAGAAACAAATCGAAACACAAAAAACCTAGTGTACGTACCTGTCGAAACAACAATCTCAAATTCCTCTCACTCTCGCCATAATACCTGTTCATGACATCAGCTCCTTTCCTCATAAAAAAGGACACCTTTCGTCCTCCTATCAGGCTACATTCGTTGGCCAGAGCTCTCGCGAGTAGCGTCTTCCCCGTGCCCGGGGGACCATGAAACAAAACACCTTTCGCTGGTCGTGAATTGAATTTGCGGAACAATTCTGGATACATAAGCGGAAACAAGACCATTTCTCGGAGACATCGTATGTGATTTTTGAGGCCACCTATCTGAAATATAGTTATTTACCCGATTATTTGAGAATGTAATTTTGAAAAATATTTTAATAGACTTAGATGCACCGAGATAAAAATATAATAAACATGTTTTGTCTTTTGTGAAATCATTATTTACTTACTGAAGAAAATCGAACTTTGTTATCAACTTCAATGGGTAGTATGGGATTCCCGAAATCCATTACAAATAATTTATTTCTCTTTGCAACCTTTAAAGTTCACACACTCATAATAATGGATAAGATAGACATTAACAGCGTTGCAATTATAACCTCAAATTTCATGAAATACTAAAAATACATAGTTTTAAAAACATGTTCACAAGAAATTTATATGATTTTTAACATTTTATAAAACGTAGTGCTTAAATTCTCTTTGATTTTATATTTATGTTGAAGATGTTAGTGAGGTGACATGACATTTATATCACAGTCAACAAGTACCTACAGCTGATATCAAAAAAGATATTATTCACAAAGAATACGCGTACTGCTACCCACAGACCACATAAATTGCTACCTATAGTTTAAAGGGGTGTTAAGGCGCGGCGCCCATTGGCCAAACAGCATGGGCAAGGAATCTTTCGCCATCTCTACATGCATTGAGTATATAACATTGACTTTAAGTCAATGGTATATAACAAGAAATAGAAACGAAATGACGCGAACTTGCGGTCACTCTTATAAGATTGAGAAATAGTGCCCCTGGAATAAGCTTATTCCAGCGTGGACTGTAAAACACGCTTATAACTTTTGAACGGCGGACCGACTAAATTTTAATCTAGTTTTTTGCGACTAGAATCGACTAAATAGCGACTTTATTTCAGGCTAGTCAAATTTCAAAAACTCGACCATGGTCACGCTGGAATATGGCACACTGTGACTGTTCATCCAGAGAAGTACAGCCACCAATTTCTAGAATAATGTGAGCATTACTGCGTTCCAGTTTCGAAGGACAAGTGTGCTGGTGAAATTACAGGCACATGGGACTTGGCAACTTATGTCTTGGAATAACGCGTGGTGGTAGTGCCCATCAAATCTTTAGGTACTATTTAAAACTCGGAATTCACTGCAATTGCTATGGACAGACGTGTCGTTTACCATCAGGCGCACGACTGCTGTGTATATAACCGCACCTGCGGTGGGGTCGGGCTCGGCCTGCGGCGCGTGGTCGGATTCAGCTTACGGGGTGTACTCATGCTCTTCGGTGGCACAGCAGTTAGTACTATGGGCGCTTGATGAGGAGGTCGATTCCCGATTTGGGCCAATGAAACGACCATTTCTAAGTTGGTTTTGGTCAGAATACGCAGACATGGATTGTCGTCGTTTTGGTATTCATAGTACAGGAAATTCGGCAGTAGTTTGGCATTTTTTCCCCCAAAATACTTCTCTTTAGCATAGCTTTCAAGAAAATAGAATCTAACAGAGAGACGGTTGAGATACAACATATATAGCTATAATAAGTATCTCATTGCCACTATGTAAGGAAGTATACCTTACATTTTTACAATTGTGAGATCTTGTACTCGTAATTTATTACGCCTCCGTACATTATCTCCATACGATAGCGTGCGTACGCTTCGGGCTTCGCCCTCCGCGTACCTCGGCCTACGGCCTCGGCACATATGACTTTGTTTTAAAAAAAATTGAGATAACTCTTTAATGCCGGCCATATTTAAAAATTGCAAAAATATATTTTGACTACTAATTATTATCAAACAATCTTAGAAATCTTTTCGTGAAAATTGGTTCAGTCCGAGCAAAGCAAGTTTTTTCAACAGCCATTTACATAAAATATTACGGCTATATCGAAAAAAGGCGGAAACAAAATTTTTACCCCAAATTATGATTGAAGCCATGCCATTTTCAGTCGAATTAGAGAAAAATTTTACCTACCGCCAAAAAAGCTTGTATGGCAGCCTTATTGAAAAAAGGCGAAAAATAAATTTTGACCGCAAATTATTATCAAACACTTATAGATTTTCAGTTGATTTAGAGCAATTTTTTATAAACGCTTGTATGGCCGCCATATTCAAAAATGGCGGAAAACCTATTTTGATCACAAATTATTATCAAGCACTCTTAGGGTCGTATTCTAGAACTCTACTCAATGCTCAAGTCAGGATTTGAGTATGGTTTAAAGCCCTCGAAATCATACTCAAGTCCCTGCCATTAGGGTCGTATTTCCAGTGCAATCCTGACTTGAGCATCGAGTAGAGTTCTAGAATACGACCCCTAGAGACCCACATATGCCAATTTTTAAAGGGATCAGAGCAATTTTTTTTCTGCCGCCGACGAACGCTTCTACGGCGGCCATATTTGAAAATGGCGAAAAACAAATTTTGACTACAAATTATTGTTCGGCACTTCTAGAGGCCTCTACTCCCCAATTTTCAGCCGCATCAGAGAAAGTCTCTTTCGCCAGCTATTTTTAACAAAAAAAATGCTTATATGGCAGCCATATTAAAAAATGGCGGAAATAAACTTTTGACCCCAAATTATGATTAAGAACACCGAAACACCCTCAAGCCAGTTTTCAGCCGGATCGTAGCAAGTTTTTCTTTGACCGCCATTTTGAATTCGCAATCTTGAATTTATTTTGACACAGGCAGTTAACCACTATTACCCTCTATGACATTCCTTCCAGCACCGCCTACCTATCTCTAATAGTTTCCGTAATAGGAGGCTTTGAAATTTGTATGGCGGCCATCTTGTTTATTTAAATTTCGAACATGTTTTACTTTCAGCGGAAATTGACCAGGGTGTACCTCATAAAAATGCACAAATATTCCCTCCATATGTTATAGTTTTTGCAGGCCGTTGATCACTCTTTCGTGTTTTCCACATTCAGGTCTTCTCATATTTGATTCTTTGCTTTGGAACCTATCCGCGCATAACGGTTTTTTTTTCCACCATATCGGGAAGTATGCGTTATATTTCTATCCGGAGTGAGAACTTGTAGCTATATACAATGGTCTCGCATTACTAAAGATATCTCATTGTCGATAACTACTATTTTACATATTGTAATACAAAAAAGTTTTCCACGAGTTGGCCAATACAATAGCTATGTAGTGAAAGCAATTTATACAAAATAAAACAACAAAAAAATCATATATCACATTAAACATATACCCTTTATTCTTCATTAATGTAATTTTATAAATACAAAATTAATACAGACTAATCATAAAAACGGTGGATACCGAGTTGTTGCACACATTCAAACTCATTTTTATTTGAGCAAATGCAAGCTTTAGTATCTTATTCATACGCAAATATTTGACAGTATATTACAAGACGGGGCTATTTGTCACAAATCAATAATATTTCTCAGAAATGGTACATAAATTGAAAAATATACGAACCCTCTTGCCTGCACCCAATGTAACCTAACTGATAAGTTGGTTGGTGGTGATCGTTATATTCATTATGTTAAAAGTTTAATCCAACTGTAAGGGTTGAACAAAACAGGTAAAGATTGAACCCAACTGTAACGGTTGAGCACAGCTGGTAAGGACTGGACACCAAATGGCAAGTGTTATTATTGCTATTTCGACATCATTCAAAAGTAACCACACAAATACAGCTGACTGTTAGAACTTTGAAGTTAATAAAAGAATGTAATTTCTGTATTGTACAGTACAATTTGCGGTCGTCCATTTTCCAATTTATAAACATCACTCTATATATTCACCCTGTATGATTTTTCAGAAAATATATATTAGCACAAAACACAATATTTCTTCAATATGCTGAAAAATTTGTAGCTGAATAGACCCCTATGAAAAATGTAGACACAAAATTACAGTCAAGGAAATGAAGTACAGCCTTTTCCAACAAAAATAAATCGAATGCTTCGTACAAATTCGAACTTTCAATGATCAATATTGTTTTCCTTGACTTATTTGAGACATTAAAGTGTAGTAAAACTTGAGTAACCGATTTCACTATATTATTTAGCAAGAATTTGCATGCAATTATGACGTCAGACTCACATTTAACATTTTTTTCTATTGTTCGGGGACGACAACAGTTCACGTATTAGCGCCAGCGCCCGGCGGTAAATAATTTATTTATTGTTGTTGCAAACCACACTTAACAAGCAAGCTTTACTACACCTTATTTCAAGACTTTGATAAATAGTTGCAATATGAAATAGTCTATGGCCATTTACATTTTGAAACATGATTACAGTCTCCATTCTGCAAAAAGGTAACTATTATTTTACAATTCGCTGTTACAGTCGCAGCTTATCACACGGCTTTGTATCATTTATAAAAGCTAATAAGTCCCTTTTGAACCCTTAACATATCGTAGCATTTCAAAGAACTAAATTCCTCTAGTGACAGTTCGTACTGTGTGACTTTTGTCGATAAAGACAATCAGTGCTTGGAATTTCATTAACATTCAGCATTAAAAATATTAGTGTACATCCCACGTGGAAAGTCGATTGCTCAATTCCAAATGTTTCATTTATAACCCACTACGCGCACATGTTACAGGGTCCAGAAGTAACTCGTCAACCTATAGCTCACATCGACTCCTTATTAAATATACTAGAAAACAACCCAGATTTTATTCAAAGTTATTGTTCAAATAAATACATTAGGTACAAATCATAAAAATATTATTAATTAATTGAACCAATTGCGATATTATATTTAATTTAATCTCTAAATCTGAACACAAAATGAGTGAGCGTTTCGCAGACCACAATTGGCAAGAGTTAATATCGGTGGCAGCGTATGTCAAAAGCTACATTTTTCGTGAAACAATACTTCTGCTTCTACCAGATTTACACAATCTCATTCGTGTGCTGCTACCCAGGCTGAAATTCAAAAGCAAATACCAGCATATTCTGCATTTCTACATAACTTGCGACATTGAACGAACGTTCGTCTGTTGAACTCTGTTTTTGGTCCTTTAGCACAAAACTGCGATGCGACATCTACGAGCTCATGAGGAGAGCAACGTATTCGCTTTCGAATTCCGTCTCGGTGATCATCACTCATGCTAAAGAATAAATGTGGCTTCTTTAAGCAAAGGACGATGCTCATTTTTTTACGCCGAGCTGTCAATCAAATCGTATAGTAAACCTTAGACTATGGAAACTAAAGGACATGTTACGTTGACATATATAAATCAGACGGTATCGTCGTTAACGTCTTTGTTTAACTATTACGTGCCGTCTTAAGCCAAAAGAGATAGCATTACATTGGCCTGCGTCAAACACGGGAATCGAAAACACGTAACTTCATCTTAAATGCCAACCGTGTCCATTTCGCAGTACATGAGGTACATGATACCGTTGTCAAAGGGAAGTACATCAAATGTCAAAACAAATGTTTTTCCAAATGTACTATTGAATTATTCGCATGTATTATAATGAAATTGGACAAAAATATTGACAGTGAGAATAATTAGGTATTAAGTAAGTAGTAAGTATTAAGGGATATGGCTTAGAAAAAGTGCAAATCAAACGAATGTTACATTGCATGTGTCATTTTTTGTCTATAAATCACACAATAGCCCAAATATTTCATGTAATTAGACTTATTTAAGTAGTTTTTTTATAAATCTTGCCAAATTTTGCTTTTGTTACTTTAGATTGCCTGTTTGTTTGTATATTTTGATGATTGTTGTTAACGATTATTTTGAGATAGTGTTGATCTTGTAAGCATACATATTATCGATATTCTGTTATTAAAACAATTCACTACGAGGTTTTCATTGTTTTATTATTATTATTATTTTTATTATTTCAAGTTTCCCTACAAATGAAAAAAAGGAAGAAAGAATGGTTGGAAATCATAGGACTGCCGAATATTAACGTTGGACCAAAGACCATCTTCATTTGTTCGCTTCATTTTGAAGAGTCAAACTTTAACAGAACTTTGAATGTAACTAGATTACATGACAATGCTGTTCCATCATTAGGTTTATTGATAAATAATTTTATGTTCAATTTAGATTAAACAAGACTCATTTCCTAGTTATTCTCAGTTCCTGAAAACAAAATTATCCACTCGTTTCTGATTTTTCCCAATGACAACTAAAACTATTAAAAATGACTATTTTTTTAAAGCCTGCAATACTATGACATGTTAGTCCAACGTTGCCGGGTAAAGGCCAATACCAAGCATAGACAGCCTATTTGCTTTGCCATCGTTCGGTTTCATAATAATATACCACTCGAGATTAAATTATTACACTTGTGTTTGTTTAGGCATACTTTGGTTACAGTAAACTAAAGAAACAAAAAAAACAGTTTCAACATTCAAGCCATACATTTACATATCGATAATGACTTATCGATAGATTATGGTACAACACTAAAGAAATCCGCCATTTGTGACTTTCAAATTTTGGTTATAAGCACGTTGATTCTGTAGTTAGGGTAGCTCCTTTCTTTTTTTTTTCCATCCTCTAAGAGTAAAACTTATGAATTGATTGCTCCGCGAACAAAACGAAACGTTATAATAAAGCTACTGATATACTTCTTTGAGCCAATAATGAAAAAATGATCTGCAAAACGCCTGCTAACCTTTGTAATATCGACCAATATTTTTTGTGGTAACTCGTTTCTAGAATTGATTCATATCACGCAGTCTTGGGGGACAGATTCCCCAGTAAGATCTACAGTCCTATAATACTAGGCGGATACTCAACACTGTAAATTCCTATTAAAGATACTGGATTCATTTTGTTTTGTTTCCGGCAATACGATTGAAATTTTCTTTCGTTTATTTCTTTTGCCACATTAGTCATCGCAACTTTCTAAACCAAGAAAAAGAAATTGGCCCATATCACAAAGCCTACGGACGTAGAACATTCCTTCGCAGTCTCGTGATATCTCTTTAATTTTCTGCCTAGACCTATTCAACTTATCGTATGTCCAGGGAGAGATAGAGTTATGTAAACGAAAAAAGTCCAAAGTTCATGAGACGAAAAGGAAAATCACTTTTCTGTATACAAACCTGCAAACAAACTGACTGTTGCGGTATTGAGGAAGTATTTATTTCTCGAAATTTCTAGATATTTATGTATCCCTATGCCGCGAATATGAGCAATGCAGCTCAGAGATAGGTATAGATCTTTCATCCGTACACGCATAGCTCCATCTCTTTCTGCACTTCGTATAGTTTTCATAACTCTATCTCCATCGTACTTATAAAACACCGAACAACCGTCTTTCCTTATTTTAATTACACATTCAATAACTACTCAGAAATTTGATTGGAACACACAATTCAACATCCATTTTGCAACAAACTAACGAATTTACATCTAACACACTTCGGCCACAACACGGTCAAATTGCGTGTAACCTGTATTATTTTAAACACTTACAATACGGTAATAGTGTCGATTCTAGGACTCCCAATTATTAACCATAAACTAATTAGATTTACCACCTCGTTTACTTTTTATTAACGTGAAGGGACCGTTGTATTGTTTCGCGCAAACCCAAACTAAATTAAATTCAGTGCATCTGTCTCTTTCGTCATCTGCAACAAAAGGACGGTAGATTTCAATTTAATTTAGAACTGTAAAATTATCCACACCCATAAGCTATTCCATAATAGTGGCATTCATTTGTGTCACTACAAAATTGTAACTTTTTTATTAAAAATAAATCAACATCAAAAGTTTGTGGAATTACATATATTTTTCAAGTTTCATTCAACGATTGAACGATTCAATCAAATTCATCCCCTTATTTGCCACCACTGAGACCACTACTGACGTCTTCCAACAAACATCTTCAACAAAAAACTTCCGAAAAACAAAAAGTATCATCGAAATCGGTTCACAAATGTCGAGGTAATTACGTCACATAGTTGGTCACAAGTCGGTTAAAAATTTATAAAAGGCTGTCATAATTAACAGTATATACAACTATAAACTATGTCTTATCCTTTTTTCCTGATAACTAATTTTAGTTGCACTAAGCTTAATCAAGTTTGGGTTATTTCAATTTTTTTTTTCAAATTAGTGGGGATTTGCGAGCCACATAATCGACACATCTTCGGCTTATCTTTTAAGTATTTTTTTAAATTGTACACTAAAATTACATGTTCAAATCAAACTGCACTCCTTTTTTGCTAATAATTAAATTCGATCATTTCGCTTTCTTTTAAATTTAAACATAAACATTACCCGAATAGCATATTAATCAGAAATTATCATTTAAGAATTTATTAACATTGTATTGTTAGTACTTAGTCTACGATATAAATGACGATTAATTCCTTATTTGGTAATTTATTGATTAAAAGATTATCAGTGCCTTTTTTTAATCTAAAAAGCCAAATTGTAGTACGCTGTGATGTGATGTAAAAAGTGTGAAAGTAGGGTGCACTGGCGCTCGTAAATAAGGAACAATACTACAAGAACTCTTGTTAATCGGATTCCTGGTGAAAAATTATAAAAGTCGAGAGTAGTTGACTAAACGAGATGCTCATAAACAGCAGGTTCTGGATATTTAAGCACGTTTTCTCTATGAAACAGCTCAAACATGGTAGTTTTCCCAAACCTGTAGAGATAACTTGCGTGACGTAATTGTTAAAGTAATTGACAGCAAAGGAAGACATACCTTAGTCTTTGTGCTCATGCTTAGCCTGCAAGTCAATTTAATGCAAATCGAACCGTGTACGAGAATTTTTCTACCTATACTTAAATATAGGAAATAAAACTATTTTTCAGGACTATTTACAGGTCCCATGGTCATGGTTGACTCTACCACCTCAGTCCAGTGACCATGGGACCTGTAAAAGGCCCGAAACGTTGGTTTGTTCGAAAAAAACAAATATACGCTATATAAATCCGGAAAATAGTTTCATTTCCTATGTGTAACAATCGCGAAAACCCAAAAACTCGATATACACTTAAATAAATTAAAGTGGTTCTGTAAGGTAACGATTATTAGTGCTTTTCATTCACTCACAATTTGACTCATTAGGTTGGAATTAGATTTATTCGTAATCCGACATTGAAAAAATAATTAAGATAACTTTTATTGACTAATTTACGAAACAGATTCAACAGCTAATTATTTATTTATTTGGTCATTTTACGTATGTCAATATGCGCACACAAAAACGCTGTATAGTACTTGGCCGTATATGTTATACATCTAGCATCAAAAAAAGAAGATACCGGTTTTGTAGAGCGTCATTTTGTCAGTCGTAGATCAACTTGATAAGCAAGCGGCGCTTCACAAATCCGAAGATAGCCGATTATGCCAGAAGGTCTTTCTCTCAAGTTCAATGTGTAATATTTACGACTTGTATGAATGTTTATAAAACTGACAGCTCGTGAATAACACGATCTGACATCCTGCATTTCTTTTTATTGTTGACTGATCTGCAATTGTCTGGTTTTCCTTGTATTTAATATTACTTTTCCATACAAATTGAAAATGATATTGTTTTGAAAGTTATTAAGATAAATACATCATATCTCTAGTATTTCTTGTCCGGCGGTCCCACTGTGTAGATAATATGTTGAGACTCGAACAGCAACATCGCCTCTGTGTGACACGGCTTAAAATATTTTACCCCTAGCTTTACTTTATGTGCGCAAAACCATCGGATTACGTAAAAAAAATTGTGTTACATTAAAAATACTTTAGGACCATTGCGGCAGTGATTTCTTAAGTATAGTTTAAGCACATAGCAAATATTAAATTCCTCACGAAACATTAACCTGGACCTGACTGTCATACTTATTTCTTTGCGACAATGAGCTTGGTATTTTTTGCTCTTTGAGTTCGATATCGTTTGTCCAATTGTAACCAAATTTGAGATATGGTTATAGAATGACCAGTTTTAGTGTCGGAAGCTAAGATTCTCTTTAGGACGCTAAACCAAGGAAATAAATATTCAATAATTTTCGCTTTTCAAGGCATCATGTTAAAGTGCAACGAAAAATTTTCTGTAAAATTCTATTCAATTTCTAGTGCCATTGTTTATACTTTTTGATCGATCAGCATTTGAAATTGATGAATATAAATAAAATTGATATTCAGACACATACTTGAAAAATTTATAGAAAAAACTTACTGTGAAATTATGAAAGCTAATATAAGAAACAAACAAGTATCTTTTAGTCTTTTTTTGTAATAAAAATAATGAGAATAATAGCAACTTATTAATAATCCTAATAATTAAATCCACAACCATCTGGCAGTGCAATGTCACAAAAATCTTTAAAAGAATTGTAAATCAAATAAAGATTATTTTGTCATAATTTTACATTAAGATTTTTCTATGAAACTCGACAAACAGTTAAACTAAATGAATGTTTCACAGATACAAATAGCTAAGTATAACTAATCTGGCAGTAACCATGCCACAATTCCGCATTTAAACCAAATTTTAACTTATAATTGTCATAAAGTTCATCCACAAACAATGCAACACGCTTTCTTTCTTCTTTCTATACGTTATAGCAATATCTATAAAACTTCGGACGTTTCCTTGGGACAAAGTTTTATACATTATCAATACGATAAAATTCACGATAGCTTCCATTACAAATGTCATCACAGGGCAAATGTATTTACAGTAAAAGTCTAATGCTGGCTTCACAACTTTGGCATGTCTCGAGAAGCTTTTATGATTTTGTTTGCTCTAACACATCGGTTTCACTCGATCTTACTCGAGTGCGTTCGTCAAACCTCGCCGAGCTATCAAAACATGTTAAGCCTGCATAGTACTCTACCAATGACCTCATATATCCGATACTCAATAACAGATTGACCAAATTATCTGCAACGTCAAATCTATAGACATAGGCGCACATTCATCTCGCAGAAAACTTGATGAATCAACACGTTTAAGTTATACGTTACGCGAGCAAATTTTAGCCACAAATTGAGTTTCTACGTACATTGTATCACTTTCGCTTGTACTTACGACGCGAGCACAACCAGCTCAGGTTCTTACAGATAATTAAGTACATTTGCTCGAATATATAACAATTTTCTCTTCTTAATACTTAGAGCTTGTGTATTTGTAACCAATAGCTCGCGCATCGCTTTTTAAGTGAGAGTTCTACGGGTATGTGTTTTCTAGACAGATACAGTCAGAAGTAAAAAGATAGTAGTAACTTTTTAAATTGTTTTTTTTTTATTTGACCGCAGTGTTCAGAAACATTGAACCGCACTCAGACTATCTTAGTACTGAATAACAATCATAACAACAATTACTTTTGAGTATATCACTTACATGTAACCTTAGCAGTTACGCAGGTTCTACTCTGGATTCGAGAGTGAAATTTCTTTATAATCCCGAAACCAATTCTGAACTTCTGATCTTGAAAAGCAAAGAATTACTTTCGTAAATATATGGGAAATTTCAGACTAGTTTTCAAATTAAGGCAGGTTAGCAACCCGAAACGTTTGAACCGAATTTTTTGACCATTTCAAATGAAATGACAAATGCTGTGATGTAATTTAGAGTTCTAGTACAATAGTAATGTTAGCTACATCGAATACTGACCTTTATCCTCACTCTATACGATACAAATTAAAGATTCACTGCAACAATTTCATTTTACAGGCTTAACAGTAGGTCATCCTTTCCCCTCACTAACACAACAAAGCAATCCCACTCTCACTTTTTACACGTTGCCAGCTGGTGCACGTATCTGCCAACAATGGTGCTAAGTTCGTTCGGCAACTGCGCGCGGTCTCGTTCGTTTGCATACGCGTTCACGGCGCGTGTAAGTTGCGCGTGCAGCTCTATTAACGCCTCGAGGCCGATAGTGCGTAACGCCTTCGTGTTCTTGTATAGTACGTTGTCTAGTTCAGTCTTGTTTATCAGTACTTTTTCCATATCTGTAAATAAAATACAGTGATTCTTCAATGTAATAATTTATGCCTTTATATAGATTTTGCTTGTTGTGTTTTATTCCATGAAGGGATGTGGCAAAATAACAGCGAGGGCTGTGTTACTGATTTTAGTAGCAGTAGATCTCCTTGTGAAAGAGTTCGTCCAGGGAAGTATAGCCACCTTGCCTACTTCTGCCGCCAAGCAGTCATGTGAGTAATAAAGCGTTGCGGTTTTGAAGGGTAGGGAAGGGTGCTGGTGAAACTACAGTCACATGGGACTTGCCAACTCATGTCTCAGGGTGACGGGCGTAGTGGCAGTGCCCCCAAGATCTTTGCGATTTAAAGCTCTTGAGTGGCACTGCAACTGAATGAAACCAAATATGCTTATGAATGGATAATAATTAATAATAATTAATAATATATAATAATAATTAATAATAATTAATAATAATTATTAAAAATTAATAATAATTATTAAAATTAATAATAATTAATAAAAATTAATATTAATTGATAATAATTATTAAAAATTAATAATAATTATTAAAATTAATAATAATTAATAAAAATTAATATTAATTAATAATAATTAATAATAATTAATAATAATTAATAATAATTAATAAAAATTAATAACGCACACACTCAACATAGCCCCGCACTAGGGAAACCCTGTGTCGCGGGTGCCATCGACACATGCATAGACAACCACAAATTAGACCCAAACTCACGTGGAAATAAATATAGGCCATACAAATATTTTCCTGGCCCGGGAATCGAACCGGGGTTCGGCCACGGAGGCACTTCTGCTTCTCTATGCTATGGATAGGCATGTCGCTTATCAACAGGCGCACGACTTGTTCGTGCCGTCACTTGGTATTATAAACAAATAGCATAATAGGTTTGTCGTAAGTGGCGCTACGGCAAAAGAAACCGTTTAAAATCCAATACAAAGATCGGCAAAAAGCACATGGCAAAATTCGCAATGTAGCCCCGGTTTGGCAAACAGTCGCTGGTTCGACTCCAGTCGGATCGAAAAAATTTGACTGTGTGTTTGTTTGATCTTTGTGTCAACAATAACAACAAACGAGTGGAGTATTTTCACAAAAAAACTAGTAACAAGGAAAACACAAACAAAAGGTACTGACTGTTTGATAACATCAAAGAAAAAGTAAAATTACACTTACAAACATTGACCTACCAATAAATGGACGTCGGGTTCGAGCTAAAAAGTGTCCGCACCTGTAGGGCGTTAAAATCGCATACAGAGCGTCAATCGCGCAATAGTCTTCGTTTGTTCGAGTGACAGCGCGGTTGTCAATCATGCAGTACCGTTATATGCAGTACAAATAATAACTTGTTAAAATTACTGCAGTAAAGTGTGAAAACAGGATTTTGTATCATATTTTCCCTAAAGAAATATATTGTGTTATCATAGTTGTCATTTAAAAATGTTATTTTGTACAGTTTTATAGTATCTAATTTATATATAACTGAATCGTAAATGTAAATTACAAAAGCACACGAAATAATGAAATAGCTAACTGTCCTTTTTCTACTCATTGCATGCGCAAAAGATGGAAAGAGACCCATTACGTCAGTTTCAAGAAACTTATATAAACTTCTTGGTCATTTTCAGTTCTTCGAACCACAAGCGATTGAAATATTTAGAACAAAGGAACTGTAGAGTTGCTTTGATTTTAATCCTATTTTTAAAATGATTTTTTTATTAAACTTTAGTAATAACTAACAAAATATTGTTGTAGTCGTTTTACGGCATGGGATTGCCTATCAGAAGTCAGAAAATACATTTGCCCGAAATAACATTAGCTCGAATTTTCATAATGTGTTTTTACGAAGATTACAAAACAAAAGCTAATTTTGTCTATATAAAAAGCATCAAAATTACTCGAAAGCGTAATGGTTTTGTTATAAATCGGAATTACGGATATTTGAGTTTACGTTTAGTTAGAATATCGGTACATTTCTTATAGTACACGCTTATTTTCACATTTGTAGTAATAATTGTATGTATGTATCTGCCCAACTCTTTATTATACCTTTAAGTGAATTTGTACAAAATTCGACATAATAATAAAAAACATAATTAATATTTATGAGAAAGGCTATTCCATTACTCTTGTGTTCAAGTAATTTTCAGTCGAAGCTAAATATGGTGCATTTTGTTAAGTTTCCAGTAGAAGCTGAATATGGTGTTTTTGGACCCTTAAATTGTTGTAAGCAAATTCAGGCAGTACTGCAATGACGTTACAATTTAAATTAAATGTTTTAGTTTCTTATATTTCGTTACATGTCACTACGTTTGTATAGGTTAACCTCTGACATTTTTTTCGTGGTTTTTGTATTAGACCCAATGTCCATTTGTTGGTAGGTCAATGCTTACAAATAATATATTCTGTAAGGTTAACCAGTGAACAGCATAAACTATTTTAAGAACACTGTACTTACCACTATGAACTTCATGGCCCGAACTCCTCTTCTTTGGTGATGCTTTCGCCGGCGACTTTTCTGCCGACTTTGTGGGACTGCAAAGAAAAAGTCTATACTAAGTTTAGGTATGCTTCTGTCTCTAAGTATAGCGGTCTATGAAATATTTCAGAACTTATCGGTTATATTGTCACACAAATTCCGCCAAAACTTTTCTAAACATAACTTTGTACACTAACCTCTCTAAAACATGGTTATTGACGCTCTGTGCTGTAATATTGAATACACTTTCGTCCTGCGGCCGACGGAGCGGTGCGTCGTCGTCGGACCCCGATGATGACGTCATGGCCTCGCCGTTAGGAAGAGGTGTGGACGTGATAGGCTTATTCTCTTTTGATTCTTCATCTGTTATTACTAAGCTCGTTTCTTTGCAATTCTGTAAAAAAATATGAGCTATTAATAAAACTTATAAAATGGCAAGTTAAATGTGGACAATAAACCTTGGTACATAAATAACAATTTTTAACATCAATGTTATCTAGTCCAAGTTCTTATTTTAGAGTTATCTTTTTTGCTAAGCTTTTAATAAATGATACACAAAATACGTTCAGGAGCAATAAACAAAGATTCAAAGTGCTTTACGGAATAATGTAAACAAATTATTAATCTCGCGAATTAACAAAGAATCAAGAAAAACCTTTGGCGTAGTTTTCGGCCGCTTGGCCACCTGCCCCTTGGACCACGCGTTCATTCTTCTCCGCTTGCGCTTAGATGAGGGGCAGTCACTCTTCTCGCCGTTGTGTGGAGTTTGACAGTTCTTGTCGCCAGTCGGTGTGTTAAATTGAGCTGGAAATAATTTTAAATGTATAAATAGGGAAGCTTTAATTTTCATAACTTGAGAGAAACTTTTGCTTAATTGCTAAACACATTCTGTCCCTTATTTCCTAATCTCTTCATGACATAGCACGACTTTTACTTATATTCGGCTCTAATATTTTTATGTTTTGACAATAATTCTACTTTATTCTACATCGGATTTAGCTAGAGTACAGTTTGTACGTTATACAATGACACAAAGTTCATCACTACTACTACTACATTATACTATGCACAATTCCGTTACAGAAATTAGCTTCCATATAACAGAAATCGCGGCAATGTAAATTGAGCCTTACTAATCCATACTAATAAAGGCATATATTTAAATGATCATTTTAAATTTGCAAAAGCAGCAGGCAAAAAAATCTAAACGGTCATCTTTTCTAATAATTGATTCTCTTTCTGTGAGACATAAATTAAAGCAATGGATATTTTAATACATAGGGCGCACTATAAGTTTCTGGAACTGGCCACTTACATAAACAATATTTAAAAAGTAATTACAACATTTGAAAATAGAATACAGTTTGTTTAAGCTGACTGTCACTTGTTTTTACATTGTGGCGTCATTTTAGAAATTGGTTGTCTACATTTAACTCGTAAAAATTTTCGTAGTATGATTTTCTACGACTTTAAGGGTCATATTCTAGAACTCTACTCAATGCTCATTGCTAAGTGTAATTTAACAGCTCAGCGGAGCGTCACTCGGCTTCAAACTGCTTTTGGCGATGAAGCACCATGCAAGACGACTATTTATAGCTGGTTTGCAGAATTCAAACGCGATCGTGTGAATCTCAGTGACGAATTTCGTGATGGTCGCCAAAGTTGGTGTGGGACATAGTAACGGGTGACGAAACATGAATTTATAGTTACGATCCTAAAACAAAGCAGCAATCGAACGTATGGGTCTTTCGAAATGAGCCGAAACCAACCAAAGTGGCGCGCGTGCAAGTGCCTCTAAGCGGATGATTGCTTCTTTTTTTAATAAAACTGGACATGTGGCAACTGTTGCTTTGGAGAATCGTCGTACCGTGAACAGTGATTGGTACACGACCACTTGTTTGCCAAAAGTTATTGACAAACTCTGTAAAAATAACCATAAACGCCGTATCACCTTGCACCATGATAATGCCAGTTCTCACACGGCCAGACAGACAAATGAATTTTTGAAGGTAAACAACGTTGACATTATGAGCCATACCGCGTACAGTCCCGACTTGACACCTTGTGACTTTTATTTACTTCCAAAAATTATGAACCAATTACGCAGTCAACGATTTTCATCACCTGAAGAGGCTGTCAAACAGTATGAAAAATATGTTTCAGAAATTGTCACGGAGGAGTGGCATAAATGTTTTCAAAATTGGTTCATTCGTATGACAAAGGGCATTAACGCTAACGGAGAATATTTTGAGAAACAACAAATTCATTTCTGACCATTTATAGTATTTTTTTCTTATTCATTTCGAAAACTTACAGTGCGCCTCACGTATATTCTGAGCTACGCAAAAAATGTTTGATTTGCATAAAATATTAACTTTTATAGTTTTATGTTGGGCCTCAAAACTAAGACAAATGAGCATTAAAAATAAAATTTAGTTACATGTTTTTAAAAGTAAGTAAATGTTGATTATACTAGTATTATATTAATATAGTACAATTTGACCTGAAAACATGTTCGGAAACGTAAGCAAATTGGCGTCTGGCACTCGCCGGCCGCTGCCGCCTCATGCTCGCTTCGGTCGTTCGTCTCGTCCTGCTTTTTCATATACTAACCTAACCTACTGAATGGAGGGCGCAACCAAGATTTATTAGAAGATCAATATTAAAAGATATTATTATACTGGTTATAAATGCCATCACTCCTTAAAAGAAAAGACCAATAATAAAAAAAGAGGATCAAATATCATTTTTTAATACCAAATATTAATTTAGTATGGTTAAACAAAATGATAGTGTTACCTTGAATGCAGTTCATTTATAATTTATCCATAGATCAACTAATATAGATGGACCAATTAGTATATATATCAAACATAAAAAAATATCGTTTATTTAAAAAAGTGCACATTTACAATAGATCAATTATATTTTTGAAGATCAAATAATATTATCCCTATTATAAATGCGAAAGTAACTCCGTCTGTTACGTTTTCACGCCTAAACCGCTGTACCAATATGAATGAATTTTGATATAGAGATAGATAGGACCTAGGAGAAAAACATAGGCTACTTTTGTCACTAAAACAAATCTTAAAGGAGTGAAATAGGGGATGCAAGTTTGTATGGAGAACCAATAAAACTAAACAAATTAGCATAGTACAGTAGACTACTCGAAGTACTTATTCTATGTAAATAAAGTGCCGCAGGCTAGTATGAAATAAAGCTCTGGATTTACGTCATATATTTGAAGTTTTACAATACTTACATAAATTCGAAGCTGTATAAATAAAGTCTGGCAAATCGGCATCAGCTTGTTCTCCCTTCTGCCGTCTCTTGCTCGCAATATCCTGACACTCAAGCTCGAAGTCACTGTCCATTTCCACGTCGATAAGTGCATGTGCATGGTCGCGCAAGGAACACGCCTCGTGCCGAATTTGTTTGTCAGACGACGTTCTGTTTACAATACGCGTGTTATAATTTCTTGCTATACTATTTTGTATCTTTAGAAATCGATAATTTTCTAGAATAGCGGCCTATCTCAAACGCATCTAGTTCATCAAGATGATTCAAAAAAAAATTAAGGCTACAAATTCGCAACGGTTGTGCGTTCACTGGGAAGTTCAAGACTTTCGCGTAGGTTAGATATATCCAACACAAGACAACACACGTTTGCGGGCAATGTCAAACAAATCTTAAACGCCTTGCTGAACGCACCGCCGTTCCGAATTTACAGCCTTAGACGTGTTTGCTAGACTAACTTGGCAAATCGTAAACCATACCCATGTTGCTGTGTAATTAGCCAATGAAAAGCTCGGTGTCCCAATCAGGATAATATTTAGCTTTATGTTATTTAGCTTTATTAATAATACATTTCAGTCAATAAAGGAACTATTTTGTATAAGGCCACTATTCTTGTTACTTCCTTTTACATACTTCACGGGAGGATAATTTGTAAAATATATATTAACGGTTGTTACCAGTGTGCTTACCGCATTTGATTAAAAACACGAACTGTGTACATTTTCTTCCCAATTTATTTACTGTATAGTTTATTTACAATATTTGGTAAGAGCACAGGAAACAGTCGGATTGCAATAATCATACAGTTACGAAATTAATCATAATACGTAACCGTGTACTTAAAGAGAAATTTATTAGAATCAGGGTAGTTATATTGTTACTTTATAGCAGCTAATTTTGCACTAGTTTATCGATGCCTTGAGAGTCGCGGTAACGACCCGCGACGGAGTAAGCTTATTTAATTACACGGTGTAATTTAGTCGTGACTATTGGGCATACAACGTTTTAAATAGGTTTCCAAATAGACCACCCGCATCAGTCATAAGCGCTACTCTCAAAACAGCTTTACTTTACTTAACACACACGCTAACAAACTCATAAAATTCACAATAAAAAACTGAAGCTCGTATAATTTAATTCGCAGTTTCGTTAAATAATAGTATTTTATTTCATAAACTCATTCAATATTTACGATATTAAATATAAATAACATAATATACGTACTTATTTGCTAGCATATTGAGCATATTATTCAATTACAATACGAGCACTTATTCTACGATGTTAGCTAAAACAACATGCATCTACTTAAGTTAGGCAAATGAATAAAAAGATGATAATTATGAACAAATAATATAATAAATGGACAAAAGGTTAGAGGACTATGTAATTACATAAATTATCTACTGTAATTTTTACTTAAATGTGTATTTCATACAATATTGTGATGTTAACATAGACCAGGCACCTTAGTATCGAAACATACTAGTATATTTTATAAAAAATTATAGGTAAGATGGAATATAATGTTATAAGGCCTAAAAACCATGACCAAAAAGTACCCATTGGAATCGATAATAAGGCCTTTTAAATGGAAACATCATTATTACTTCATTTAAGATAGTCAAGCGCTGTATATTACCTAGTATACACCCCTCTAGCCCTTTGATTGGCACTGGAGGAAATGTGGAACAAAAAATATGATGTGTTAGAAAAAAATTGATGGTAAAATTATAAAACACAGAAATGATCAAAAATGAACTTAGTTTAGAGTGACTTAAAAATCAAGATCTATGTTTAGTATATATTTTTTTAACTTCTAGAAACCAATGGATTTGCCAGATCTGCTTTTGGTGTTGTTTGTATGGGAAGTCGAGAAATGTTTGTGAGATTTTTTTAATGTTTGTGCAACTTTTTTAATGATTGATTTAAATTTTCAAAACTGTAGAAGAGTGCTTGTTGAATGAGCTCGTGTTAAGAGTTAAGGTTTGTGGTTAATAATAAAAAAACATGTAACTTTCTTGGGCTAAAATTTGAAATTGAATTCACATGGAAAATTAGGAATACAGTAATCAGCAAGATTTATTACAATGAACACTTTTGTAATTATTTTTATTCTAATATTATTTTGAAATTTGATGGAAAAATTTGCAACAAAGCATTAATGACCTGAAAATTATAAAAAACCTTTATGTATGTATAGACAACCCATTATCCAGTCACAAACAAATCAAGTCGCATCAAAAAAAAGAATTTTAAACAAATCAAAGGCTGAGGGTTTTTCATTTGCACCTTGGCCATGTTGAATTGCATTTAAAAATAAATATTTACTTCTTTTGACAGTGACTGGTGTGATAAATCAAAACTAGCGTAAACTTACTGGTAATAAGGTTCAAAACCCACCGGTACATGTACCTATTTCTACCGGAAAGCAGCACTGCTACATTTAAATCGATAAGTACAGTGCACAGATTGACGACCTCGGTGGCCTAATAGTGTACATTGTGGGCGCTGGATTCGGAGGTCCCTAGTCCAGGACTTATTTTGGGAAATAAACTTTTCAAAATTGGGTCTGGTCCAGGTGTTCTGGGAAGTTCCCCAGAGTAAATTCCGTTGCTCTAGTACTCATAGTACAGGGATTTCCCTAGTTTGAGACCAGACAACAGTGTAGTTGTTTGGCAGCATAAAAAACAGCGAACCGCGCAATTACAGGTATAGGAAACCTGAATCTGGAGGCCCGCTTCGCCATCGCGTGAGACATTGAGATCTAAGATCTTTAATTCCGATCCATATCAGGTTATTTTTAAAATTCTAACAATCTCGCAGTATTATAATACAAACATCATAAACCACAACTTTTCCAAGACTTTTAATAATTCAACAGATTTTAATTTCATATAAAAAATACAGGACGGGGGTGGGAGTCGCTTGCGCGTTTGAACTTATACTTTGTTTCAATCCACTTTAAACAAAAAGTAAACAAACAAGTCACTGATCCGACCATAGACGGTTTAGTGATGGCAAATTTTACTGCCAACTACAAATCAATTAATTAATTGAATAAATCGATTTCTTTAATTGAGTCATACTAGCGGTTTTCATTACATAACCTATAAAAGCATATTTTAAAATTTGCGAAATCTTACTTTTCTGATACCCGTTCGATTGCGATCGAAATTTTCGATTTACTAATCCATTACAAAAACTTTAATTCAATGAACTGAACGTTTCTTACGTGCAGCACTATGCAACCATAGACTATTCATACATCTTTAATTAAAAAATAACCCGACTTTTTGAGTACCATTTTTCAAATACGATTTCACGATGTTGTTCAAATGAATATTATTGGAAAAAGTGATGAGATATCAAGTCAAAATCTTCGAAATATACGTGTAAGTGTTACTTATTCGATTTATTGAGTGATTACTTTAGAAATGCAACCAAACCGTATTATTTACATTTCGTTTGAAATGGATTGGAACAGACTATACCTTACTACAAAATGCAGATCTAAAAAGTGTCAGATAGTACAAACAAAAACTTCAAAAAATATTTTGGCTAAATTTAATACGTTTTGTAGAAAGCTATGGAACTAAAGTAGTTGTTTATGATTGTTAGTAACACAGTTTGCGTGGTTGTTAGTATTTTAAAAATAATCCTGTATATAAATTTAGTATAGGCCTTAATAACCACTGTCTAGATTCACCGTCAAACTGTTTACAGGTGTATATACAATTTAAATATGAAACCGTGTTCCAAAGGTAATTTATAATTATATACATCATTTATAATACATTATAATTATTTACCTGTCAGGGTTATATTCCAATGCGTTAGCGCATATGAGATCAATATCGTCAAGGAAATCTTTGGCGCAGTAGTACTTGTGCATGTCCACTTTGGTCATCATTGTTTCCAAATCCATCGGCTGTTTTATTATATCTAAGTAGTCCTTCACCTGCCAGCAGAGAAGCACGCATTAAATTAACTTTTATGCGTTGTTTTTTAAAGACATCTATAAAAATAATAATAACAACACCTTTGAAACGAAGAATAACATAAAAGTGAAGTGCACCTCAACAAAGCACTTGTGGATTTTTCAGATCTGAATCGCACATTTTAACTTTTTTTTTTCAAACAAATCAATGTTTCGGGCCCTTTACAGATCCCATGGTCACGGCTGAGATGACAGTCTTCAATTAGTTATACAATCTATTATTCTATAAGATATAACTGGTATCATATAACTGGTAACACAATTTCTTTATTTTCACACTTCCTCATAAAAAATATTTAAAAAATCGGAGTCATTTTTTGTGGCATAAGCATTTTAATGAAAAATGTTGAAAATTAACAACCTTTACACCATTTTACCGCCACCTTTAAACTATAAATAACATTATGACATCCTATAGAAAAAACACTTTAGGTGCGCGATAGCGAAATATTTTCGCAAATATATGGTTACCGTCAAATTCATCCCCTTCAAAACTTAGGAAATTTAATTTTTCATGAATCACACTTGACGGTTAAGTCGTTCATTCAGTTCATTGACTTACCTCTTCCAAATCCACAGGTTTAGTAAACTTGTAGAAACGCCGATTAGAGGCAAGCTTTCGGCAAATGTCTCTCAAGAAAATTCTCAGTTCTCGCAACTTGTAGTCTTCTTTGCGCTTGCGGCGAGCGATCTCATGCTCGCTTTCTCGGGGTGGCGGTGGTGGCGGAGCTGGAAAACGCGTTTATTTAATTGTCTTTCGTACTGTTAATAACTAGTACCCAATTACCAAGCTCAATTTACGACTATATGATTAACAGTAATAAAGTCGTTCTGAAATAAACGACCCTTTGGGTCATTGACGTGTAGTGCAAAAAATGTCGTAAAGAAATTAATGTTTTCAACCAGATAGTACTTAATACAATCATTGCAAAATGACGATCTTCAAATCGAAAACCGTGTTTAGTAAGTAGGTAAGAGATTTTAAGAACTAATTATGTAATGATTGCGTACACTAATTTTTCTAAAATTAAATTAAAATAATGAAACAACCAATATTTAAAGATTATAGTAATTCCACGACCATAAACACAAATGAAAGCTAAACGCTACCAAACAAAAAACCTAAGAGATAGAAGTGTCCATGGTTGGCCAAATACCGCTTATATTTTAACCAATAAGGAGGTAGTTTTTTGAATAGCGTCATAGTTAATAC